CCTCCGCCATCACAGCAACCCGACCTCCAACATCCAACATCCGACCTCCCATCACGTCCAGGTCTAACGATTGACTCTAACCTCAAACACTTCGACCTCCAGCTGCCAGCAGCACCAGACATTTACAATAGACCCCCACCCGCTAACATCCAGCGCCCTTTAACCGACCCCCAGCGTCCACCTCGAACTAGCGAGCTCCACCTCTCACGACCTCCAGCTCCAACTATCGACCTCCACGTCCAACACTCCGACCTACAACTTCCAATAGCATCCGAGGGCCGCAACCGACCTCCACCTATCGACCTACAGCTCCCGCCAAGCGACCCACAACGTCCACCTCTAATCATCGACCCTCGCCTATCACAACCTCCAGCTCCAGCTATCGACCTACACGTTCAAAACTCTGACACCCAGCGACACGCAACACCAGCCTTCCTCAGCCCACCTCCACCTACCGACCTCCAGCTCCCACCTCTGACCCAGCGTCCACCAGCACACCACTCCGCACATCCACGCAGGAGCACAGGCGGGGGTAGAGCCGATTATACCCACGTGGACGGCGACGTTCCCGCTTGCATTCTTCAGGCCCCTCCACACATGCTAAGCATTCACAGTGGACCATCTCAACCAAGACACCGGCGAGACCATCAAGCCACAGCCCAAGACGGCACGTGGTCACTAACGGCACTTCACAAAAATGCACGTTCTCTTAACGATGACCGCATTGACGAGGTGATCATCGAGATGGGCACAGAACACTGGGACTTCATTCTGTTCAACGAAACCTGGAGGACAGCAGTTTCAGAGATGTGGCAGACTGCTGAAGGCCACATTTTTACCAGATCTGGTCATGATCAGCCCTCTCACGGGTTTGGCGTGTTGGTGCACAAACGATGGGGCAAACACATCAAACAGTTCCAAGGTGTTAGCGCTAGGTTTGCAGCGCTCCACATACGGCGGGGCTCATTCAAATTGGTGTTAGTCGCAGCGTATTTCCCGCACACGGGATACAGTGACCAACACGTAGAGCATTTGTACACGATGATGTCTGCACTGCACGCCGAAGCTCGCGAACAAAAACATCATGTTATTGTGGCTGGAGACTTTAATGCACAAGTTGGACGCCTGGATTCAATCGAACCCATGCGGCACGACGACTATGCCGACGACGACGACGAGCCTAGGACTGACGCCAGGCACGTCGGACATCACGCGTATGGGAAATGTGATTCGAGAGGGGCTTGGCTACGTGCATGGGCGTCTAAAGAACGTCTTGTTATCACGAATACATTTTTTTCGCAAGCCAGTGGTGCAGCAAGTAATTTACACTCACAGCAATGGCTCCGAGAAGCAGTTCGACTACATCCTTGCCTCCAGGCGCCTATTCCGACAATGCCGCGACGCGGAGGCGAACAACGCAGTGGACTTCGGTTCAGATTACAAGGCCGTGGTTGCGCACTTCTGCTTCCAGCGACGCATCTCCATTGACTGGCATACGCACAACGAGCAGCACCAGCCCAAGCACACATCACGACACACGACCACCCGCAGTTGGGCCCACGTCGACGCTGAGGCGTATCACACAACGGCCAAAGACGTGATCTCTGCAGCAGACCTACCCCGACCGCCAGAAGATCTCAGCAGCCATATTGAGACATCCATGTTGGAAGCAACGACAAAAAGCATTGCGGAGCCGGCGCAGCTGAGACCGCACCTCTCGACCAACGTGCATCTCCAAGCGCTGATCCAGCAGAGGCGCAACATCCCGAATGACAATACACAGTCCCGACGCGACGTCAGCAAGCAAATCCGACAAGAGATACGACGGCAAAAACTAGCAACACGACGTATGCAGATCAGCACCCTACTCGAGGATTACCGTGGACTCAGGCGCACTACGACCATTCAATCAGGGCGGAAGCGCACGCTAATCACGGAAATGCGCGGCAAGGACGACACGAAGCATACCAGCAGAGACTCAATTGCGAACGTCTTTGCAGATTTTTGCGAGCAGTTGTATCACTCCACTCGACAATCTTCACCACCTGAGCCTTCTGACGACACGGTGCCGCCCGCCTTTTTACAATCCACGAGCTCAACAGGGGATTGTCCAGCCTCAAGCGGGGTAAAGCACCCGACACGATCGGAATCAGAGCCGAAATGTTGAAGCATGCCCCCATGGAACTCAAACGAATTGCATTCCAATTATACAACACTGTCATACAAACCGACGCGCCTACTCCGCAGAGTTGGCGACAGACAGTCATCACAGTAATCCCGAAAGCAGGTGGCCCCAAGCAACCTCAGAACTACAGGCCAATCTGCACCATTCCCCTGCTCTACAAACTTTTTAGCAAGCTTCTATACGATAGACTGCAGCCGCCCCTGGACAAACAACAGCCCCTAGACCAAGCAGGATTCCGCCCGGGACGTTCGACGCAAGATCACCTCCTCACTTGCCACATGCTTCGGGAGAGCTCGGGAATGGAACCAACCACTTTGGATAGCGACGCTGGACTTCAAGAAGGCTTTCGACACGGTCGAGCACGAGAGCCTCTGGACCGCACTCGAGAGCCAAGGTGTCGCACCAAGCTACATGCACCTACTCCGGAAGATGTACTCTGGCCAAACAGCCACGGCGCGGACAGACACGACCAGCCGCCCATTCAACCTGCAGAGGGGCACCAAGCAGGGCGACCCCCTTTGGTCGCTACTTTTCAATTCGCTTCTTGAACACATCATGCGCCCACTTGTCAACACATGGAAAAAAAGCGCAACCGCGGCATCCAACTCGGCTTCACTAAAGACTGCTCTCTTACCAACCTGCGCTTTGCCGACGACGTCCTTCTGACGAGACGCACCTTACCGCGCTTGACGACAATGCTTGAACACACGGCCACAGCTGCACAACAACACGGCCTCCACATCCACTCGGACAATACGAAGATCTTGACGAATTTGACTGAGAGGACTGGGGGGGCACAGCAGCAAAAGGTGAGCATCAACAGCACGGAAATCGAGATGATACCTCACAGTGGGTCAGTCAAGTACTTGGGACAGCAGATCCGCTTCCAAGACACCATGCACGCCGAGGTGCAACACCGGATCAAGGCAAGCTGGGCAGCCTTCACTGCTCGCAAAGAGGAACTCACAGCGAAGCACTACCCCTTGAAGCACCGACTCCGACTTTTCGCAGGTACTGTTACACCGACGGTGCTATACGGGGCGGCCACTTGGACTCTGACCGAGCCTCTGCGACAACAGTTACGATGCACCCAGCGACGCATGTTACGAATGATTGTCGGCTCCCCACGAGACGCAACACCGCCAACGCGAGACCGACATCCAGTGCGACCGACCAACGCACGACTCAAGCGACGACAGAACCGCAAACCCACGAAGACGACACGCACGGAGAAGCAAAACGCAACCGACCGTCATCTACCCACCCAAACGCAGATACCAGCACGGCTAACATCCCCAGCACCGACAACGAGGATAACGTCGAACCGGAGAGCATTGTCTTGGAGTCGCGGGTCGAATACATCAAGCGCACGACAAGACAAGCAGAAAGCCTCATGCACAAGCACAGTGTGATCGATTGGAATACGAGGCAACGGCGATTGGTGTGGAGATGTGCCGCGAGAGTGGCGAAGCAGTCCCCTCGAGAATGGTCTCAATGCGTGGTGAACTGGCATCCGAGCCTCCATGATTTTCAAAAAGGCAACAGGAATTTGACAGGACAGCAGAAGCGATGGGATGATGACGTGCGTGATTTTCTCGTATCCCATGGCGTGCAAGAGAGACCCGCCCGGAGCAGCTACGACGTGAACAACATCGATTGGCTTCAACTGGCGACCGACGATTCAATTTGGACTAAACTGGAGGTTCAATTTGTCACGTCACTCCTGATACTTCCGTGGCGCCGGCCGCCTGAGTAAGCTTCCAGCTAGCCGGCCATGTCTGAGGCCACGGCCTCACCCGCTCCGCCCTTAAGGGGCCCGGGCGATTGCCCGCACGAGCGTCCCATTCCCATTCCCATTCCCAGATCTTTCCATTGATCCCCCCCGATATTGTCCCGCAGATTTTTTTTTTCAAAGTCCCCCCAGTATTTACACCCAGATATTGATTCAGATCTTCCCCCAGATTTTCCTCCAGATCGTCCTCCAGATCTTCACCCAGATCTTCTCCCAGATGTTTCCCATATATTCTCCCTCAGATCTTTCTCCAGATCTCCCCGAGATTTTCCCGCAAATATTGCTGCATATTTGCGACGCACTACACCGCCAAATCTCCGTAGCACATTCCCCCGATTTTCGCCCAGATCTTCCACCAGATATTCTTTGAGATGTCCCTCCAAATTGTCCTCCAGTGTCCGCGCCAAATATTTGAACTGAGATGTTCCCTCAGATCTCCCCCAAATCTTCCGCCAAATATTCCTGCAGATGTATCACTGTGCAACCGGGCCGAATCCTTCATTGGACACTCCCCAGGTATCCGGACAGATCTTCCCCCAGATCTTCCCCCTGCTGTTCCAGGGCGTTTTTTTTTCATGCAGCGCCGCGGGTCGTGTTCTTGTGTTCAACATTATTGGTTTTGTTATCTGCCTCACTTTGGGGCTGCGATCTCTACGCGGCAACCTAGAATATACACTTCCTTGTTGTCTGAATTCCTTGTTTCTTTGAACTCTCTGTAAACTGTTCTTCAACACTTGCGCAGCATATGTTATGCACACCTTATAAAGCACAACATATGTTGCACGACATATGCTGCACCACGTATTTTGCACCTCGTAGCTTGCTCCCTTTGGATTGCCCAACCTATCTTGCTAGAGGCACACTCTGTATACACAGAGACATACGTACACATATATGGAGAGATCATCTGTATACATGTATATGAAACGAGACAGGAACAATACAATAAACGAACGAGAGGGACACATACTTTCGGAGAGAGCGAGAGAGAGAGGGGGGAGAGATGCTCTCCCATCCGCCGAGGTCTCCGTCATCAACCCCGACAGCAAGGCCGTTGGGCCGGAGAGTATAAGCAGCCAGGCAAGTATAACGGGATTTGCGTAAGGCGTCTACACGTGGACATCTGGGTTCGCTTGAGTGACCATAGCCATGCATACAAGCCGGAAGCCCCAGGGTCTAGGACCCGTTTTTATAATGACCGTCTTCATTCATGCCAGAAGACAAACATGACGTTCCCCCAGAAGACAAGCAAGAAGCTGCACAAGCATACGGTCACGAACTTGTGCTTATCGTGCCACGCCGCTGGTTCGAGCCCGCCACAGATCGGCGCCGCTTCTTCGGTCAGCGGGCGCAAGCGCGCCGAAGTAGGTGCAGGCGCCGGTCGGGCAACGGGCGGGATATGCTGGGAGCTAATTTGGCACGAAGGAGCGCGGGAGGTGCCAAGAATCGCTCAGAACGTGAAGTATTTCGCGGGCGTGCCGGAAGAATGTACGAGCGTGAGGTCGCGCGGCTGCGTGGAAAGCAGCGGGTTAGTTAGGTCGGTGGCCTGGGACCGTGAAGTGGAAGACCTTGGAAAGGTACCCGGTGAGCATGAAGTGGCCGAAGGCGCAGTGGCGCGGAGGTGCTTACTTAGCTTGCTAGAGATTTCAGACCTCCAGTGCGAGGCGCTTCCCGTTTCGAATGCAGCGGCGACGCGCTATAGGCTTTGAAGGCATGGCCTGTCGCATCGCCCGCCGAAGAGACGCGTGAAGCGACAACCCTGACAGTGCGTCAGTTCCGTGTCGTGTCCACGCGGCGGCGACCCCGCCGCGGGCGTTCAAGGTTGACCGCCGCCGGTGGCCCAGAATCTTCAAATATGGAGAGATGTGACGATCGTTCAAGGTAAAACGATCCACGCGGTGTCAGAAACCAACGTCAAACTCGTCACGGCACGAACCCGCCGTAATCTCTCGGGATCCGCACCGGACTCGTTGGCTCGGCGCCGTGCCCCCCTCCCCACAGATCCGTGGCGGAGCCTCCAGCTCTCCTTTCCCAGCGCGCCACCCCCGTGCGCGCCGGTCACTTTCCAGTTGCCCCTGTAGTCGCCCCGTGGTTGTCTCGTGGTTATCCGTAGGTTGTCCCGTGCGATGTTCCGTGGGTTGTCCGGTGCGCTGTCCCGTGGTGGTCCCATAGCGCCCCGTACTTGTCCTCTGGGACGTTTCGTGGGTTCCCCCGTGATGGTCCCGAGGGCTGTTCCGCGGGTTGTTCCGCGGTTGTTCCGCGGGTTGCCCCAGGGTCGTTGCGTGGTTGGCTTGTGGGGAACGCACATCGATAGACATGTGCACATTTAATTATATCTCGTAGATCACCTTTCGGATGACAAGGTCTGGGATTGAGACATGGTAATTTCAAACATGTAGTTAGATTGTGTAATTGGGTCTTCATGGCGATCCGCATTCGATTACAATTGGAATTGCATTCCGATTTGCATGGGCTGAGGGGAGGGGAGGGCGGATGAAGGGGTGCGCCAGATATAGGCAACGACGCACGTCCTGGCCGCCAGCTTCGGCGTCAGAGGGGACGGACGGCGGTTGACCGCTACGCGCCAACAGTGTCTGGCCAGGGTCATCCTGGGCTCTAGGATGGTGCATGGACCCTCCTGACTTCGGCCGTGGCCATGGGGGCGTATACATCACACCAACCATGCCGGAGCCCAGGATGGCCCTGTCCAGGCACGGCGGTGTTGTATGGCTGCCTTCTGCCTATACGTACAACTGCCTTTTGCGGTGGGGAGGGGGATGAAAAGGAAAAGGCAATTGAGCACGAGGATGAGGAGGGAGGAGGGGGGAAGGGTGATGGAGGAGAGAGTCGCAGGGGGGGGAGGGGGGGCGGAAGGGACGGGGCGGTGATCAGGATGGGAGGAAACGGGCTTTGAACTCCTCCTCCTTCTGCTCCTCCTCCCGTTTCTTCTCTTCCTCCTCGCGTTGAGGAGGCGGCGTTGAGGTTTTGACGCCCGTTTCCCCGCGCAAGGGCTTGAACCTGAAGGTGAAGGTGACCACGACTGCCACGGCCACGGAGGTCAAGGGCAAGACCTTCCACGAGGCGGGGGTCCTTCCACGAGACGGGGCGTCGCCTCTCTCGCTGCGGCCGCCACCTTGGGAGCGAGCTGGACGGGCCTAGAATCGTTCTGAAATGGCCGCGGCGCCCGATATATTTTCCAAGCCCGCCGATTATCAGAGACCTCCGATGCATATCGGTCAGATATTGTCTCGATTGTGTTTTGGTCTCAGCGAGGGGAGAATCGGTGCGTAATATCCGACCCCGAGCCGAGGCTCCGGGGTGCTACCCCTACGACTAGCACGACTACGGCTACGACTCGTACTACTATTACTACTACTACTACTACTACTACTACTACTACTACTACTACTACCACTACTACTACCACTACTACTACTACTACTACTACTACTACTACTACTACTACTACTACTACTACTACTACTACTACTACCACTACTACTGCTACTGCTACTGCTACTGCTGTTGTTGCTGCTACTACTACTACTAGTACGACTACTCCTACGACTACTACTATTACTCCTACGACTACTACTACTACTAATACGACTACTACTACTTCTACTACTACTACTACTACTACTACTTCTGCTATCTCTACTACGTACTACGTACGTACGTACTACGTACGTATGTACTACTACTACTACTACTACTACTATTACTGCTGCTGCTGCTACTACTACTAGTAGTACGACTACTCATACGACGACTACTACTATTACTCCTACGACTACTACTACTACTACTACTACTACTACTACCACTACCACTAGTACTACTGCTACTATTACTACTACTACTACTACTACTACTACCACTACCACTACTACTACTACTACTACTACTTTTACGACTACTACTACTACTACCATTACTACTACTACTACGACTTCTACTGCTATTATACTACTACTTCTACTTGTTCTACTACTACTACTACTACTACTACGGCTACTACTACTACTTTTACTACTATCACTACTACTACTACTACTACTACTATTACGACGACTACTACTACTGCGACTCTCTTTACTACGTACTACGTACGCAATACTACTACTACTACGACGACTACTACTACTACTCCTACGACGACTACTACTACTACTACTGATAGTACTACTACTACTGCTACTACTACTACTGCTACTAGTTCTACTACTTGTACTACTACTACTACTACTACTACTACTACTACTACTACTACTACTACTACGTACTACTACGTACTACTACTACTACTACTGCTGCTACTACTACTACTACCACGACTACTACTACTACGTCTACTATTTCTACTACGACTACTACTATGTCTACCACTCTTACTAATACTACTACTACTACGACTACTACTACTACTACGACGTCTACTGCTATTATACTACTACTTCTACTTGTTCTACTACTACTACTACTACTACGGCTACTACTACTACTACTACTACTATCACTACTACTACTACTACTACTACTACTACTACTACTTCTACTACTACTACTACTACTACTACTACTGCGACTCTCTTTACTACGTGCTGCGTACGTAATACTACTACTACTCCTACGACGACTACTACTGCTACTACTACTCCTACGACGACTACTACTACTACTGATAGTACTACTACTACTGCTACTACTACTGCTACTACTACTACTACTACTACTACTACTACTACTACTACTACTACTACTACTACTACTACTACTACTACGTACTACTACTACTACTACTACTACTACTACTACTACTACTACTACTACTACTACGACTACTACTACTACTACTACTACTACTATTACTGCTACTCTACTGCTACTCTACTGCTACTACTATCACTATTACTACTACTACTACTACTACTACTACTACTACTACTACTACTACTACTACTACTACTACTACTACTACTACTACTGGTTCCTCTTCCCCCCTCCCTCTTCCCCCCTCCCTCCTCCCTCGCTTTCCCTCTTGCTCCCCCCTCCTTCTCTTCCCTCTTCGCACGGAAACGCTCTGATAAAAACCAAGCCCCCTTGTTCCCGCTGCTTCCCTCCCTCCTCCCTCCCCTCCTCCCTCGTCCTTCCCTCTCTTCCTCCCTCGTTCCCCCCTTCCCCCTCTGCGCTCTCGCCCCCGCCAGGCGCTGGTGGCGGACGGCTCGGGGGCGGTCGTCCTGTCCGTGAGCCCGGAGCAGCTGCCCCTCGTCTCGAAGGACGCCACCCTCGAGGCCCCCTTCCGCCTCGCGGGAGGAGGCTAGACTGACCATTTTACGGTTGGCCGCGGAAAGATTGGAGAGGCCTTACTGCCGGTGCCGCCGACTCTGAACGACCACAACGACGACGGAGACGATGCTGACGTGGGTCAGAGTCCTCAGGGATGCTTTTCGGGGTCTCTTCGGAGCGCTCTCGGGGGCCTCTGAGGTGTAGTTTTGGGGCCTCTTGTCAGCCCCTTGGGCCAAGGGGGTCTGTTGGATGCTCCCGAAGGTCTCTTGGGGTTTCCCAGGGGCCTCTTGGGGGTCTCTTGGGGGCCTCTTGGGGGCTTCTTGGCGCTCCCTGGGAAACTCTCAGGCCGAGGGCTCGAAATGTCCGTTCGGGTCCCTTGGGCCGTCTTGGAGGCCTCTTGGGCTGTTTTGGGGCGATGCCTCTTGGGCCCAGATCTTGGGGGCCTCATGGGCAGTCTTGGAGCGTGGGGAAGCCGGAAAAGCGAGAACCCCAACATCCATCAAACACACGAGGAACATCAATGGTTTTTGTCTCTTGGGGCCCTCGTCTGAGTGCTCTTGGAGGATTGTTGGGGCGTCTTGGAAACAGCCTGGGCAGTCTGGAGGCTACTTTGGCGTCTTGGACCGATCGTTCGGCGATTCGAGGCCCTCTTGGACCGTTTAGTGGGCCTCTTGGGGCAGTATCAGTTCGTCTTGGGTGGTTTGGGCTTTGGGTCCCCCGAGGGGGGCGACATTCTGACCCAGGATTTGCCCCGGGCCCCGGCCCCCCCGGCTCATCCCCAGGGACCCTCCCCCAGACCCCCCCCCCGTGCGGGGAAGGGATCAAATGGGAGGGGCTTCCCTTCGTCTCAGCTACGACGTTGCTGCTTAAGCAAGAGCGCTCGAGGAGGAGGGCCCGGGGAAAGGAGGGGGGAGCGGCGACGGCGACCGACGACGACGAACGGAAGAACGTCTTCCACACGCCGGCAGGGCCGGTTGATTCAGGAGCGAAAGAAGGAAGTACACGCACATGAATCCACGTCGGTTTCGAGAGTGCGCATTGCGCGAGCGTTCGTATCGCGAGGTTGGTGACGTGGATTTGGGGGCAGGGTTTATGTACGTGGTTGGGCGCGTACGTCTTTGGTGGTCTCCCAAAGGATGGCGCGCCATGTGGCGCCGCTGCCCCGCATGTCACTATGCCCCCAACCTTTGGGGATAGCGTGCACCGAAGAAGCCCTGGCAGGGGGATGGCGTCCACAGATGGGGACTCCGCGGGGGGACTCACGGGGATAGCGTGCTTGTCGGAGATCCATGCTACACGCTATCTTTCCAATCTTGCCAACGCCAATGCCGATACCGCTGCCCACCCTCGTCTCCACGGCTGGATTCGCCTCAAAATCCTGGTCAGAACGTACCCCAGGAGAGGTCTCGGGGGTGGCGGTCTTCTAGTTCTTCTTTATGGTCCCCCGGCAATCCAGGCGTGCACTTCGCCCCCCGCGGAGGCCATTTTGCGGCCCCGGAGAAGCCAAGAATGGCTCGGGGACGAGAGGCCGACTTCGGGGGAGGGATTCGAAGAAGAGCAAATTGCATCAACATAATTTTTCGGAGCTCCGCCCGGATTTCTTGGATCTGCGCTGGCCCCCCCCGGAAGCGCCTCTGGCGCCGCCCTTGGCGCAGTCCGCGCGGCAGGGAGGGTGGTCCAGCGCGGACCAAAGAAACTCGCGCGGACCTCCGACATATTTATGTTGTTTTCTCTTCTAGGGGCCCGGGATTGACAAAAACAGCATCGTCGGATGTGTGTACCTTTCGGAATTCTAGACGCTTCGCGTATCCCCACCAGGATTATTTTGCGTGTTGCCCCATGCTCGATACGACCCGCTCTCTGGAATCGTCCTTGGAACCGCAGATCAAAAAGTATCCCCACCAGTTGCATACCGCTCCCTGTCCGTCGCCTCGGAGCCGCCGACCAAAAAAAAGTATCCCCACCAGTTGGCCCTTGGCGCCCTGCGGCGACATGGTCAGTCTGTCCCTGGTCACTCCTGGCCACAGTGCCTGTGCTCGATCCCGTCCAGCTCTCCGTTCCTGGTGGCGATCGCCTTCTGTTTACCGGCAGTGGCGGCGCCCTCGCCAGAGCGATGCGTGGCCGTATGCACAGTGCTGATCAGGCGTTTCTGGCGTGCAGTTCCTAATTCCACCTTTGGCACCTCTGCCTCAGGCCTGCAAGCTGCGTCAGCTTCCCTGGGCGTTGCAAACTAGCCAGCCAGTTCCACCAGCAGCAGCCCCTCCACCGCCGCTTCTGAGTGCTGGCCCGGCCGGCTTGCGCGTCGCTCAGTAGCCAATTAGGCTGGCCCGTGCCCCAGACCCGCTTTCGGCGACTGCTTCACGCGTCTGCCCGCGACCCCCAAAAAAGTATCCCCACCAGCCCATCCAGAAACGATGTCCAGGCGAGTTGACGTGATTTGGGAACTGCGGCAGCAAAGAGGAGGACGGCCGAGCCGTGCAAAGGAGTGAGGAGGAGAAGGAGGAGGAGGAGGATGGATGGATGGATGGATGGATCAGGGGGTGGGAAGAAGGAGGATGAATAGGATGAGGAGGAGGCGGAGGAGGAGGAGGCGGAGGAGGAGGAGGAAGAGAAGGAGTAGGAGCAGGAAGGAGAAACAGGATAATGAGGAGGGCAAGCACAAGGGCCAGAGGTCTCTTTGATGCCTCTCGGAGCCTCTTGGGGTGTCTCTTGGGCGATTATTGGTGGCCTCTTGGGACGTCTTGGGGGTCTCTTGGCGATCCTGGGGGGCTCTTCGGGGTCTTGGGTGCCTCGGGGGGGCCTCTTGGGGCCGCTTTGGGTCTTCTTGGGGGCCTCCTGGGGACCTCTTGGGGGCCTCTCGGGGCCATCTTGGGGCCATCTTGGGGTCTCTTGGGGCCTCCTGGGCGCTTCTTCGAGCCATCTTGGAGGCGATCGGTCAAAGAAGGGGGGTTCCCTAGTTAGCACCGCCCCTCGGGAGCCCCAAAAATAGCCTCCTGGACCCCTCTTGGGGCGCTCTTGGAGCGCTCTTGGGGCCGTCTTGGGGCCCTCTTGGGCCCCTCTTGGGGCTATCTTGGGCCCTCTTGGAGCCATCTTGGGAGGCCATCGGAAGCGAAAAGGCGAGAAGGCAAAAATCAGTGGTTAGGTGTTCGAAGGAATTTAGCCTCTTGGAGGACTCCTTGGGGAGCTAATTCGCATCTTGGAGCCGTCTTGGGGCGGTCTTGGGGCCTCTTGGAGCATCTTCAGAGCCATCTTGATGCATCTTGGCCCATCTTGAGCCATCTTGGAGGTCATCTTGGGCTTTCCGAGGTGGACGCTCCAACGCGTCGCCGCGCCCCCCGTCCAGGTCCAGGGGAGGGGTACGGGGAGGGGTAAACCCCTCCCCGAAGGGGAAGAAGGAGGGGTGGAAGAGGAAACTCTCTAAACCACCTACGCCCAGAGGGCTGGTGGGATTCTGCGATCGATCCAGGACCGATGGTGATGGAGGTTCGAGGATCGAGGTTTTCTTTTGGTGGCGGAGCAGCTTGTTTTGCCTCCTCGAGGCTTCTCGTCGCCACGACCGGATGTCCTCTGAAGTTCTGGCCAGAACGCACCCCTGCATAGGTCCAGGGGCTGATTTTTGACGCCCAGAACCGGATCCCACTTTGTCGTGAGACATTCCGACGCGTGTTTCGTCACAATTGTCGGCTTCTGGCTGTCCTCATTGGGTCCTGGTGCCGTCAAAACGAATCAGGATGAACCCACCGATCTTGACGAAGTGGTCTTAACCTCTGGGGGTCGGAGCGCTTTGGGCGAAGAGCAGCTCTCGGAAAGCATCCCGAGTCGACATAATTTTCGAGAACCATCGAACACTTCGGAACACATATTGGCGGGAAACTTGCGGCCCGAGGTCCGGAACGCGAAGGTCGTCATGATCGCCGGCCACATCCGCATCGCTGTGGACAAGTGGGGCAAGATTTGTGCCAGCGAGGAGCCAGGTCGCCGTCGTGCTCCGCGTTGGATTTGTTGGCGATGTGGTCAGGCATGCAAATGACGATGATGACGAAAATGACGTTGTTGACGATGTTGATAATGGTGATGATGAGGATGAGGATGATAATGAAGATGAGGATGAGGATCATGATGATGTTGCTGCTGATGATGATGAGGATGTGGTGGTGATGATGGTGATTATGACGATGATGGTGATTACGATGGTGATGACGATGGTGACCTGCTGATGTTGATCATGAGGAGGAGGATGGTGTTGGTGGTGTTGATGTTTTTTTTGAGGACGACCACCCGCTGCATGCCTAGAGCATGCTGAGAGGATGAGAGAGCAAGTTGATTCCTCTCTCCTTGGGATGGCGACGCTTGCACATTCTGTTCCACCCGGCCTGGTGATACTTCTCGTTGCCTGTCCTGGGGTCTTTACCACGAATTGCACAAGCCTCCCCAACCTTGGCTAGACGAGCACAAGACGAGTGACATCTGCATTCAGTGCGCACAACGTCCATGCTGTCGTCGGAACAATCAGACGTCACACATGTGTGTCTAAAACCCGAAGAGACTGAACGCTGACCTTGGACACCTCAGTGCAATTACCTTGGGGAGGGCAGGAGTGGCCAGGGTTACGCTTCGAACGGAGACAAACCGAGCACTGCCAACCGGAAGCCTCCAGGAGGGCCAAGCCAGGCCCACGTGTGAGTTCAGGAGCTGCGAGCAGGGTACGATTCTGCTCCTCGCCTCGCCGCACGATCGGCAGAGTCGCTGCAGGTCCTCGGACAACGCTTGTGGGAAGACATGTTCGGATCGTCAACGGCCTGGTGAGGCTGCACCTTATCACAGCCGATCCTCCTCCCTCCCCCGAGAGCCCGCCCCTGCATCACCATCCCGCTGTGAGGTCGGTCGGGCGACAGGCGGGCATTGCCTGGGAGGATGTAATTACAGACTCACAACGGAAGCACGGCCACTGGCGAGCTTGCCGGGTCTGGAAACGTGGGCGCCGCTCGCTGCACAGGCCGCGGCTTCTCCCACCTGGATGGCCTTGTCGGGCGAAGAGAACTATGCACATGCACCGATCCTGGCAAGGCCCATCCTCGACCCAGGATCGGTGCATATGCCTTCCTGGCCAAGGTAGGAGGGCGTATGCACCGATCCTGGGCTCAGGATGGGCCTGGCCAGAGTCGGTGTATGTGCATAGTTCTTTTTCCTCTACCTTGGGGCTGGTGCTCCAGACTGGGCAGAGCGCCATACCCAAAATGTTGCATCCTGGACCTCAAGCGGCCAAGCCACAACCCGCACGGTCCACACTCCCAGCAGCCGGTTTCAGGCACGACCCGTCCATGAAAAGTCACCCCAAAGTTTCCTTGAGCCCTCATGGGGGTACTCGGTGTCCTCAGCCTCAAAAGCTGCCCGCTGCTCCGCGAGCTCCATGCAGATGATCTCGCGGCACCGCACAGTTGTGGTGATGATGGAGCAGCAGGCGATCGCGAGCCAGCCGAAGACGCACACGAGCTCCCGCACGCTTTCGTCGAAGCCGACGATGCCACGGTGGTGGTCTGGCCCTCGCGAGGGCCGTCGCGCCGACTGCGGCGTTGGGGGCTATAGCACGGCGGGCGCCTGCCGCAGGGCAACGGCTGTGGGGCCGCGCAAGCCACGTGGGGGCAGAACGATAAGCGGGAGCATACGTAATTGTTGCACCCGCACAGTCCTGAACCCTTCCAAAACACAGCTTCTGGTATGCTGAGCATGGGAATCAGTGACACTCTTGCGATGTTTGAAAAGGAATGTGCGCGGCGCTAAGGTGAGAGCCACACTTTGAAAAAGGAGCACGGCGTTAGGGCGAGAGCCACATTTTGAAATTGTCCCGCCCTCGATACGTGAAACGCGTGCAACTATTTAAAGCGAACTTGTGCGGCGTGAAGGCGAGAACCACATTTTGAAGACCACCCGCCCTCAATCCGTGAAGCCCTTGCAAATATTTAACGAATGTGCGCGGCGCTGAGGCGAGAGCCACATTTTGAAAGCGACCCGCCCTATATCCTTGAAACGCTTGCAAATGTTTACAGCGAGTGTGCGCGACACTAAGACGAGAGCCACATGTTGAAAGGGGGCCGCCCTCCATCTGTGAACGTATTGTCATTTTTAAGCCCAAAGAATTGGTTTCGGGTGCGACAGGGATGATATTTATCTATAAGGAGAAGGAATGGAGGAGGAGTAGTCGGGGAAGGAGGAGGAGGAGGAGGGAGGAGGGAGGAGGGAGCGGGGAGGAGAGAGGGGGCGGGACACCGAGAGGATGAGCGATGAGGAAATGAAGGCTGGATCAGCTGGAGCATGAGGGGGGACAGGTGGAGGTGTAATGGGGGGCAGGGGGAAAGAGGGGGAGAAGCGAGGGGGGGTGGAGCGGCAGGGTGGAGGCCTGTGTGGAAGACCTGTTTGGCAGGAGCCGCTCGAAGAGATCAGCACGGCCAAGAACGTTTCCGAGACCGAGTTCGAGCTCGTGAGAGCTTGAGCGGGCAGTTGGCCGACCGTAGCGGGTGAATGCTGTTGCGACAACAACGATGGCAGGGGAGACGGTGTGGCAGCAGGTCAGTTGCTAGAAGCCAGTTTGAATGATACCGATATTGTTGGTGATTCTGATAGTGCTGCTAGCTCGTCCGCGTTTTCTTTTCACGCGGGCATTGTGCCCTTTGGTGGGGGTTCCTTGAAGTGGAACTGGCTTTGCGCCTTCCAAATCATTTGTCGTGCAGGGCACCCTTACGAAGCGTTCCGAGCGCTCTCCTGCCGTCATTACTCTTTCGTTGCCTCGCGCAGTCAACGAGTCGGCATTCGCGTATCCAGCAGGCTCTGGGCGACCATTTCCGCAACGATTCATAATTCACCATGGATACTTGAAACCTGCCCCCACTTGGGGGAACTCCCGCTACCAAGGCTAGACCTGATTCGACAGAGAGAGAGAGGGTGAGAACAACAACCACCGTGCGCATCAGAGATGCATTGGCAAGATGGTGAACTTAGCTGCTACGGCACTGATCCGGCAGCTCTGCAGTGGAGCATGGGTGGAACTACAGAGACGAGCGTCCTTATTTCAGGGCCCCTGTGGATCTCGAAACAGTCCTGAAACCTAACCACTTGCAGAGCCAGGGCTTGGACCAAATGCGAGGGGCACGTGGGGAAGTGAGCGGTTCAATCAAGAATGAAGCATGAACAATCAATCGTGGGCAGGAGGGTAAAACAGATGTGATTGGTCGACAGTGATAATCTAATGAGGGCCACTGGTGTCTAGTTGAGGTTGGCGATGGTCAGACATCCACACGTTTTGCTGCGTAGATCTTCCACACCGACCTGGTGTAGCAGCGCTGTGCGTGTGGCCCGACCGTTGCATTTTATGGTTGTAGCGGCGCCTTTCGCGGGGCCGCCAGGGCCCCGTCGAGGGGTCGAGGGCCTTTTCGGGGTCTTCGGGCCGTCTGTGAGCTTTTCGTCTTGGGAAGGCAGCGTAGGATGGTCTTGAGGCTGTCTGGGGTTCCCGACACAGTGTCTAGGCGGGTCTTGGGCCGTGTTGTGCCGGCCTTGGGGCGTCTTATTCCCTTGTTTCTCCTTCCGTATTTCTTCCGTTCTGCCATTCTCTTCGTCATCCCGAATCCGATTCCCCATATCCACCTCGATGTCCTCATCTTCCTTGTTTCCCCTCTTCCGCCTTCTCTCAGGCAACGGCGAAGCTCACCAGCCTGTTTGCACGCGAACCCAGTATTGTAGGCTTGCTCCATTTCTGATCATGCGTCTGATCCTCAAAACGGGTGCATATTCACAAGCAAACCAGTTCGCTTCCCCCCTGCTCCGTCCTCCCGAAGAGTCTGCCCAGAGTTCTTGCAATTCAGAGGTCTTGGGGCGGCTTCGGATTGCTCGCGCTGTTCAGCACGGACAGGATTTAGACGGAACAGTTTCGGCTTTCTAGGCCCATCGCTCAGGTGGAGAAGGAAGGCGAGGAGAGGAAGAGGACGAGGGCGATGGGAAGGTCAACGTATCGATTAGGGCTACTCCCTTTCAGGCCGCGTTCGGCAGACCCCCACGTCGCAAATGTCCACTCAGAGCCACCTTGTGGCACCCAGCCGCGGTTCAGCACGCTTCCGAGAGAGGCACTCGAAGGAGATCCTTTCTCACGCCTCCTCGCCGTTGTCAGGCACGTCCGTGGCCGCACACGCACTGCCGCGTACGTGCGTGTGCGGCCGTGCACGCCCGTGCCCGAGCGTGCGCGAGCCTGAGCCGGCCGCTTCAGGCCGCCCGGGTTTGGAAGGCTCGCGCCGTGTCCACGCGGCGGCCACCCCCAGCGCAGGAGTTTAGGGTTAAGGCCGCCAGTGGGCCCCAGATCGGCCAGTGCCGGACCTGCTCAAAGGGAAAGGGCCCGTCGTTGAAGATTGAACGATCCACGCAGTGTGAGGAACCAACGCCGAAATCGCCACGCCACGAGCACACCGTATGCGGGTTTGGGATGACACAGTTTCTTCCTCTACCCCGCCGTCGTTGTCGTGCCCGCGTTCCTGTCACGATTGGCTTCGCAAAGAGCTCGTATTTTTCTTCCTTGTCCACAGTGGTCAACATGCGTGAGGAGATGAAGCGTCGTGCGGACATGGGAGGGTGCATCGCCCCACGCTCTTGCGGTGCGCGAGCGCCATATGCATCATGTTGTTATCGAAGACGCCTCTGGCAAACTGCCGTCGCCCACCCCTGCCTGAACGGGTCGTGTGTTATTCGAGCTGTTGCAATTGTGCCGCCAGAGGCGCGGGGGCGGATTTAGGTAACAGTTATCGCCCTGTGGCGACATTTAAGGATTTAGGATTTGCAGCATGGCTTGTTGAAAACGATGTGACAGGATCGGACAGCGCGGCAACGCATCATCATCATCGTTGTCGCTATCGTCGTCATCATCGTCATCATTATTTTCATCGCAGCCATCACGGTTATCATCACCCGCAGCATCATCATCATCATCGCCACCATCACCATCACCATCATCATATTGTCATCCTCATTGTCGTTCGTATCCTGCCCCTTTCTCTCATTTTCCTCGTCTCGACAAGAGTCCGCTTGTGCTTCTGGGAAGGGCAGGGTTATCCTCGAATCAGGCTGCTGCGTGTCCGCCGATGCATGTCGTCCTCCCAGCGCCCTCCTGCTCCCTTCTCTTGCTCGGGTCCAGAGCACATCTGCGGGGGATGGGCTCGCATAACCCATCATTGGAAGTTTCATGTTGGGCAGGGGACTTGGTGTTGTTCCTCGTGTGGATCGATTGCGGCCCAACCGCCAGACAAGCTTGGGGATCCATGTCCACGACGGCCCGAGGGCAATCGTCGGAGGTGAGGGGGTGAGATCGAAGTGGAACGGAGAGCCCCCCTAAAATCGATTTCGGTTTCGTGTTCGTGCGTGCCGTGCGTGCGGGCGAGGCGAAGCTGCGTGGGCGGGCGAGAAGAAAGTCTCCTGTGGCTGAGGCGCGGCCGGACCAAATGTCTCCCTTCCGGGTGGCCGGTGGCCCGCGGTGTCCCGCCGGTGTCCCGCTGGTGTCCCGTGTGGCTGAGGCGCGGCCGGACCAAATGTCTCCCTTCCGGGCGGCCGGTGGCCCGCGGTGTCCCGCCGGTGTCCCGCGGTGTCCCGCGGTGCCCCGCGGTGTCCCGCCGGTGTCCCGCGGTGTCCCGCGATGATCATGATGATGATGATGATGATGATGATGATGATGATGATGTTGATGTTGATGTTGATGTTGATGTTGATGATGATGAGATGATGATGATGATGATGATGATGATGATGATGATGATGATGATGATGATGATGATGATGATGATGGTGATGATGCTGATGCTGATGCTGCTCATGATGATGATGATGATGATGATGTTGATGCTGATGATGATGATGATGATGATGATGATGGTGATGCTGATGATGATGATGATGATGATGACGATGATGATGATGATGATGATGATGATGGTGATGATGATGATGATGATGATGATGATGATCGAGTGCGATCGAGTGTGAGATAGATCGAGTGAGATCGATTGTGAGATCGATTGTGAGATCGATCGAGGGAGATCGATCGAGCGAGACCGATACTGAGATCGATAGTGAGATCGATATTGAGACCGATCGAGTGAGACGTTGGTTCCTCCCCCCCGAACCTCCTTATCACCCGAAGGGTGGTCGTATAGGTAGATTTCACCTCTCCAGAATCGCATGGCGGGTCTAGCCTGAGGCTTACAGTCAAGCCGAGCAGGCAAGACGAGAGGCGATGTAACTTGAATATCGTAACCAGCCTAGTCGCAATATCCGTCACTCTTCCCATTCCATCCTTCTTCCTCCCGCTCCTCCTCCTCCTCCTTCTCCCTCTCTCTCCTCCTCCCCCTCCCCTTTCGTCCTTCCTGCCTCTGCCCCCCGCTCCCCCCTCGCTCCCCCTTTCCCCTGCTCCTTCCTCCTTCTCGAGCGACGACTGGAGGGATAGACATACTTTCTCGGAGGTCTGGGCGGATTTCTTGGATCGGCGTTGGGCCTCCCTGGCGGCGCCTCCAGCGCCGCCCCTGGCTCGCTCCGCGCGCCAGCGAGGGGTCCAGCGCAGACCCCAGAAATTCCGCAGACCTCCGAGGAATTATGTTCATGATGTTTGTGCAAGTGTTTGTTCCTCTACCCTCGCCCTTCCTCTCTCCCTCCCTTCCTCGTCCTTCGCGTCCCTCCTCCTGCTCGTCGAGCCCCACTTGCGCCTCGTTCCGATGCGCGTTTGCGTGCAGGAGGGCAGCGGGGAGGAGGAGGAGGAGGAGGAGGAGGAGGAGGAGGAGGAGGTCCAATCGCTACAATCGTGGGAACAAATTCCGCTCACCGTCAAAAGAGGAGGAGGATGAGCTCAAGGACCAGCTTTCCACCCCGAGCCGTCTCTTGACGGCCCACAGGGCCGGGTGAGGGACCCGGTACGCCGAAATTCGTTAGAATCTCAGCAGACGAGACAAGTCCTGGTCAGGAGGATTCGGTATTTCATTGCACGGAAGACGCACTATGGAAGACGCACACACACATCTATGGAAAAAGTAGTTGGTTGGAACACTGTGGAAGCACGCATTTGTGTTCGGATGTGATACAATTATTCTTACAGTATCTAACGGCATTGTTGCCCATCTCCGAGCGACCCTGCGCGCGTCACCGCTGCCGCCTCAGGGCCCGAGCGTGGCCACTCGACCGTGCAGCGCGGATCCCTCGCCCTTCCCCGCTGCCGTCGTCGTCGTCATCGTCGTCGTCGTCGTCGTCCTGCTCCTCCTCATCATCGTCTTCCTTTCCCGCTTTTGTGATGCAGCCGCTGACGCGTCACCCAAACGCCCCCGCGCCAGCCACCTCCGGGGCGCGGCGGCTTCACGGATACGGTCCCGTTGGCAACGGGAAAGGCCCAGGCAAGAGGTTTTACTTCGACCTTCCCGACGTCCGGCCATCGGTAACAAGATGGACAGGATATGTTACATCACCTGTAGCTGAAGGGAGCATGGAGGCTACTCCTGTGAACCTTCACCACTTGATCGATACGGCTGCTGAACATGACGAACGCTCCTGTCCGACATCACACCAGCGGCGCCATGCCCAGTACGACAATGCATCAATATAAAGACGGCTACGAAAACACTGCAAAAGACGACGTGCGGTCCCTGATTGGTCTCTACCTACCGACATATGGACCCTTTTGCTGGTGGACCGAAGTGGGAGCAAGAAAAATGACGGCAGCACCGAGTTCGACAGCGCGATGACCTTGCCAGGCCCCATGCTCAGAGATGCCATACTTACCCAACTCGCGGCAGTCTGCCAACACCAACGTCTCAATGCATGGTGGAATCTTTCTCAAACGTATCAGGTTAGCAAGATGGATAGCATGCCGCGCGCGCGTGGTACACGTCTACCCCATGGGCTATGCGCGTGCGGAAAAATCGTGGGTGGTTGCACGACAAACGCTCGCCGCGACACCGTTGGATGACACGGGGCACGGCTATGCCAGAGCGCGATCGCGCGCGGTTGCTATTGCTGTCGGTCTTGCACTACAGTGGCGGCCTGCGCAGCTCTGCCAGAGCCACGGACCACGAGACATGACGTGACGAACGCCTTCGCCTCCGTGCGTCATGCATACCTAGACGGGGCAGTGAACACATCTATGATTGCGGGATGTGGGTTCACGGGCACCAATGTCGACCTCTTCCTTCGGAAGTACGCCGACGACCTCACTAAGGACCACCTATGTCATGGCGCGCAGGTGGCGGCATATAAAGTCCAACGCCCCGGCGCAATCCTCCATGAGAAACGACAGACGACTGGATTGCAACAGAGCGCTGTGGAACAAAAACTGCACCCCCCACGTTCGTCGGCACTGGTGACCATCGGTATGCGCGACCCCATACATCCTGGCAAAGTACATGTCGACGGCGGAGTTCATGCACCGACTGCGTTTTTTGGATCCATCATGCAGGCGAACGGCCTACAGCACGCTGCACGGCTGTGGACAGAGGATGGAGGAGCACGGGGCGATTCTGGAACAAGTGTAGATGTCTTGGTCGGAGGAAAATGGCGTTTAGAAGTCAAGTGCTCTCCGCATCTACATCAGGTCTCGAAGCGCGCCTTCTTGCTTAAGCTCAGAGAGACCAGAAAGACGCACGTGCGGCACGATGCGCACGGGCACTACTGCAAGGGGCAGCCTGCATCAGAAACTCCGCCGATGACGACGAAGACCCCTCTGGAACGAGAGAAGTTGCGCGTAATATAGTGTTCCGCGCGAAGTTTGGCAAATGCTGCAGATGGCCCCGCGCCCCTTGGATTTCCAGATGATGCGCGTCAGGAGATGGCAACGTGCAGCTCGCGGGCCCGACAGCCGCGCTTCAGTGCTCGCTTGTGCGCTTGGCGAGCCACTATGCGAAACCGCACATGCACTTTGAATGTGACTGGGCCCCTTGCGAGCTCATCCAAGCGAGGACCCGCGCGCCTGGTCAGCCCATGGCGCATGCAGTTTCTTGAGGGCATGCAGTTGCTGAGGGCGATCGCCGACGGACGTGCGCGCCTTAATCTTGTTGGAGATGATTTGTTCGATGTCTTTCGGCCGACGCCAGGCCGAGTCGTTTGCGTCGAGCGCGCGATTGCACGCGCGCGAAAGTGGTGGCTGGAACAGCCCGCTCCTCCGCGCAGAGTTCCAGAAGCCGCGACCTGCTGGAACAGCCCTCGCACGCGCGGCCCGCTGCGCGCCGATGGTGCGATATGCCCGTTCGCGACAAAGACGACGCAAACGCTCCGAGCGCGCCGAGACATGAGCTGGGGGGTGGTGAACGCGGGAGAATATCGCGTACGCGCGGTTAGCGATAATGAACCAGCGCCCAAATTGCCAGTCGACATTCGCGAGCCGACAGACTGCGATCAACCGTCTCGATGCTGCCCATCGCGCTGGACGGCGCCAAAAAAACCGATCAGTTTGCAACTTCGAAGCGAGGGGCCCGCGGCAGCTGTTTTGCCCAAGCGACGGCGGCGAGCTCATCGACCCCAGCCCATGCGAACTGCAAGCCCACATCGCCGTTAAGCACCTCCGCGCACCTCGCCCCGCCGCGGTAGAAGCGGCGCCGCCTGCACCGCGGCGCCGCCGCCGGCATGCACGGGGGCGCGGGGGCCAACCGACTGGGCCGAAGTCCAGGGGGGCGGGCCTCGACGACCCGCAGCTCGAGGAGATGAAGATGAAAGACATGCAGCGCATGCCCCCCATACTGGCGAAGCAGCAACTCGACGTGGCGCTGAGACAGCGGCAGACCGAATCGACCACGATGAAGACTTACCTGATGCCGCGCGGCGCCAAAAGCGTCGCGGCGATCCGAACTCGAGCTCGCGCGGGGGAGAAAAAGACGGGGGGAAACGCTACCCGACCCCGGCTTCGTTGATCGACGCGGAGATGGCAAAGATCAGCGCGCTCGGCACCGCGGCGTTCGCATGCGCGTTTTAAGGCCCCCTTCAGGGGAGCGCTGCCGTCAAAGGCCTTCGCTGGCATAATCTGACCGAACAGGGCAACAAGTTGATGCCGATGGGGCCCAAATATCCGCCGAGCTCGTCCCACTAGCGAAGGCGAGAGACACCCGCGACCAGAACCAGTGCAAGCTCCAGACTAGCATACGGCATCGACCACAGCGTGATCCACGAGCGTCTCATACTGACTGGGGCGAACAAGCCAAGTCAGGGGGCGACAGCGCACATGGAGCTGACCATTCGAAAGCAGATGGCACAGATGGACGGTGCGATCATAAGATTGATTTCTTTACCCGCCACTGGGCGAGGCGCGGTTGCGCGAAGTGGGGCCCTGCAATTCACGAAAATATCTGCGAGAAGGGCCATGCGAGCCCTGCGCCGGCACCAACTGGCGCGCCTAACAATGCGTCAGTAGAGCATGGTAATGGAAGCCAACGAAGAGCATCATCGAGCGCGCCTACTTCTGCAGCTGTTCAGGGCAATGGTAGCCGACCATGCGAAGCACAGTGCGCGCCGACTACTACTGTTGTTCAGGGCATGGGTCTCCCAGGGCGCGCACCCCTGCGGGCGCGTGCGCCTGCGCCAGTTGATCATGTCATGGAGAGCCCGCCACGTGCATCAACGAGCGCGCATACTTCTACGCTGACTGGTCTGGACAATGGAGGCCCGATGCAAGCATCGCAGAGCATGGGCAACTCGACAGCAGTTGTTCGGAGCATGGGCAGCTCTCTCGCATCTTCGCGGGCGCGTGCATCTAATTTTCGCGGCGCGGGAAGCCCGCGACAAGCACCGACGCGCGCCGAACCTTCGAGAGCGCGCGCTTAGCAGTGGACAGCATCGCTGATCGCACACGCCCGCGCCCTGGCCCAGGCTGGCAAGCAGTGCCCTCGTGGGAGCCCTGCGCCGCGTTTGCTTAGCCCCCCTAGGCCTCGAGGCCCCAACTCTCCTTCTGAGCCTCCCTGCCCCCCCCATCTCCGACGCGGCCGCGGAGGTCGTCGATGCCTCCGCGCGCGTTTCAGCGCCAGCCGCGTTCTTCCCGAGGCTCGTCCTTCCCCGCTCCTACCAGGCAAAGCCCACGACTCGACTCGCGATTGATGGGGGCCATTGCGCTGGGGTCGAGCAGGCGTCCAGATTTGCTGTTCGATTTCCGTCAGTGCGTGACGCTGCGGTTTGTTTCCGGGCGTAGCCCGATCCTAGAGGCACGTTGCGTCTGAGACCCGTGAACGGCTGCTTCCCAGGGGCCCGATCCGTTCCGATATATATATATATATATATATATATATACATATACATACATATATACACACATACATATGTATATATGCATAAATACATGTACAGATATACAGATATATGTCTGTAGATGCCTTTAGCCTGTATCACAAGTATTCGGGTGCATGGAGTGCCCGCGTGATTGAACATCTTGTGCTCGCCTCATGTTCAGTTCTTGTCGCAGCTTTGATCGCAATCGCAATGTTGACTGTATGTTTCGGGCTGCCTCGCGCCTGCGTGCTTCGAGGTGCAAGTTAAGGGCTTGGAGTGCCCCAGTGAATGATTAGTCGCATGGTTTCTTTCTGGGTTGGCCACGTGCCGTCACAACTTTGATCGCGCCTGTACTCCTGAATTCACGTTTTGGGGTGCTACTCGCCCACCTATCCCATTGCATGTGGTATTCTATTCGAATGTACGATTTGAGCGCATACCTGCACGCGCGACTTGGTGCGCCGCGTGAAACACTTGCGTCGTTCCACATCAGTGGTGCACTTGGCGCAGGACGTTATTTTCTTTTTCCTCTTACTCTCCCAACCCTGTTGCCTGTGGTGACGGGGAATCGTCGGAGTGTGCCGAAGCGTTTTCGGGGGGCGCACCCTCGGCCCGCTACGACGGGTAACCCCCCCTGAGTACTCCGTGCTGCGTGGTTGGTCTCTCGCTTGCTCTCCTAGCCAAGGGGGGCCCCATTTGGGGGTCGCGGGGGATGGGAGGGTGTTGTGAGTGGTCTCTACACTTTTGTTCCCGAGTCCCGCCTGTCTCCCGTGGGCCCGGGGCCCGCGTGGAACGGGCGGGATTCTGGGCGGGGTGTGCGTTTGTGTGTGAAGACCGCTCACATCACTTTTCTATCCACGTATCCTGATATCCTCCCGGCTCAAATAGTGGGCGTTGAAACACTCTTGTATGACAGGGCGAGCGCCGCTTGCCCGCGGCGCATTGGAAAAAAAAAGGGGTCGCCACCCTCTCCCTAACCTTCCTCTGCCTACGGGCATTTTAGTAGGTTCGACTCTTGGGTCGTTGACCTACGCCCACAGTAGCCTCCTGGCCCAGCCGCCCCCTTCGGGCGGCGGCGTGACACTGCGGTTCCCAGCCGGGGTCTGCGCGTTCACTTCCGCGGCCCCGCCGGCGGGCGCAGGCTCCTTCGGCGCGCCCGGCGCCATGAGCGTCTACGCCGCTGCGGCCGCCGCCCACCGCGGCTCGCAGGGGCGCGGCCGCGCGGCCGAGGTCAAGGGAAGCGCCCAGACTTGTCCGCGTCGAGAAAAATCAACACGGGGTGGGTTCGGCCGTCGTCGGCATTTGGGGGCCTTCACCGGGCCCCGGCATCGTCGAGAAACGGCTCGGGATGAAACAATTAGTCCCAGGGTAAGGGTTGGAACTTACGGGGGCCGCGCATCGACAAAATCAGGATGTCGCATGGAAGGGCGCAAAACGGCGCAGGGCGCGCGCTCTCGGACGTCCGCGTGGCGCTGCCGGGTCGGCGTTGCCCCCCCCCCCCCCCCTCCCGTTTCGGCGGCGCCGCCAGCGCCGCCCTTGGCCCGTGGCTGGTTTTTTAACATGGAACCGCTTGGGGGGCGCCGGCTGCAGGTGGATACATTCGGGTCCCCTGGGGCCCTAACGTATCCACATCCACCGCCGCCGTGGCCAGGGGCAAAGATTGGGGGGGGCATAGGGGGGATGCATCGATCCCCAATTGCCCAGGGATTGCCGATAGGGGTCTGATGGCGATAGCCCCACCCCGCCCGGGAACGTGCGGATGCAATATTAGGGGCCTATCGCCGATACGTTGGCGATGCATCCCCCTTCTATGCCATATCCTCCCATCGTTGCCCCTGATTTGGGTTCTGGGAGATGGCATCGGTTCTCCAAGCGGGGGATAATCATGCATAGACTTGGGCTTCGCACGTGTGGCGCGCTCCGTGCGCCGGGGAGGTGGGGGGCCCAGCGTCAGCCCAAGACATCTCCGCGGATGTCCGAACATGTACATTCCCACACATTTCCAAATCCCCGGCGTCTGGTTTTTTTTCAGGCTTCGACCCCCAGAGGTCCCGACCTATTCTCTTCGACCGGCTTCCCATCCTGAGTCTTCTTGTTGTTGACGGCCCTGGGGCCCGCTGAGGGACCCCAGAGGCTTTCGCTTCCAGGCAAAACCAAACCATACATCGCGCCTCTTCGATAAGCAGGCCGACCCCGGCGGGCCACCCACAAGGTAGTTTGGTAATTATCGTTTGGTCCTCGTTTGGAAGCGAGGGTGCTCCAAAAGCGAGGTTGGTTCGCTTGCCCCGTACAGAACCCCTCCGCTGTGTTTTGTGTCTCTGTAACGAATGACCAGAGGGGGGTCTGTGTTTGTGCAGTTCTTGGCTCCTCTGCGAGGGGCCGCCCCGGCAGGGCGGGCTGGCCCAGGAGATCCTGGGCGCGGCGGGGGTCGAGCAGGTGCTCGGGCTCTTCGACGAGCGGCGCGCAGAGCTGGGCGTGGTCGACCTGGCCCTCGTGTCGCAGCGCGTCGCCAAGCTGGGAGGTTCGAGGAGCGGAAACGGCATCAACATAAGCCTCTTGGAGATCCACGGCGATTCTTTCTTGGATCTGCACTGAGCCCCCCTGGCAGAGCCTCCGGCGCCGCTCCGCGCGCCAGAGAGGGGCCCAGCGACGGTCCAAGAAGTCCGCGCGGACCTCCGAAAGTTATGTATGTATGTACATACATTTTTATACATATTTTTATATATATAGAGAGAGAGAGAGAGAGAGAGAGAAAGATGTGTGTATATATATATATACACACATACCATGGGGGGACCAGGGCTCCAGGACCCACGTTGCCGGTCCACAACGGCCCAAGAAGCCTATAAGACGCCCAAGGACGCCTTTCAGACGCCCTGGAGCACCCCAAGAGGGCTCCAAGTCGGCCCAGAGAGGCCGCCAAGACAGCTTCCGACGGCGTCAGACGGGCCAGTTGCCCACCAAGACGGCCCAAGATGGCTATGAGATGGCCCAAGACGGCCCAGGAGACCTCCAAGAGGGCCTCCCGGAAGGCCCGAAGAGGCCAACTTCATTGATGTTCCTCAGGTTTTGAAGGATTTTGGCATGTGTTTCTTTTGGGCCTTCCGACGGCCCGAGACGGCCCAAGAGCCCACAAAGATCGCCCCAAGATCGCCCAAGAGGCCTTCAGGATGGCTCCAGAACGGCCAAAGAGGCCGCGAAGACGGCCCCAAAAGGGCCCCAAGCAGCACAAAGGTCTCCAAGACGGCCCTGGAGCACCCCAAAAGGGCTCCAAGTCGGCGTCAGACGGGCCCGGAGCCCACCACGCAAGACGGCCCCAGAGGCCTCGACCAGGAAGGCCCGACGAGGCCAAAAACATTGATGTTCCTTACGTTTTTGAAGGATTTGAAGGATTTGTGCATTTGCTTGTTTTCGGCCTTCCGACGGCCCAAGAGCTCCCAAAGATCGCCCCAAGATCGCCCAAGAGGTCTCCAGGGTGGCCCCAGAACGACCCAAGAGTCCCCCAAGACGGCCCAAGACGGCCCAAGAGGCCTCCAAGACGCCCAAGATGGCCTCCAAGACGGCCCTGGAGCACCCCAAGAGGGCCCCAAGTTGGCGTCACACGGGCCAGGAGCCCACCAAGACGGCCCAAGATGGCTTTAGCATGGCCCAAGACGGCCCAGGAGACCTCCAAGAGGGCCTCCAGGAAGGCCCGAAGAGGCCAACATCATTGATTTGCCTCAGGTTTCGAAGGATTTTGGCATGTGCTTCTTTCGACGGCCCGAGACGGCCCAAGAGCCCCCAAGGATCGCCCCAAGATCGCCCAAGAGGCCTCCAGGATGGCCCCAGAACGGCCAAAGAGGCCCCGAAGACGGCCCCAAAAGCGCCCCAAGACGGCCCAAGAGGCCTCCAAGACGCCTAAGATGGCCTCCAAGACGGCCCTGGAGCACCCCAAGAGGGCCCCAAGTCGGGGGGAGCCAGGTCAGTGCCTGTCCCACAGCTCCCGAGAAGGCCCGGGCCCGCCCCGAAACGGGCCGCGACAGGCTAATTAAGAAAGTTTCAAGAGGGCCCAAGACAGTCCCAAGAGGCCCTGAACACGCATTTTTTTGAAGGTGTAAATGCGGTAGGCGTACTTTGGCCTTGCCGCATGCCCCCCGGCCTTTGGCGCGCGTGGCCTGCCTGCTCGGAGGCCGCCGTGGCAGATGGATACTGCCGTCCGGCGCCTTCACGAGTTTACAACCCGCCCACCCCCACCAGAGGAAGGAGGGGCGTCGACCGGGCCGCGGGAAGGGGAGGAGAGGGGGGGGAAAGATGCCCGTCGCCGCGGCCGCCGCGACGTTGGCCGCGGAGTGCTGCGCCGCTTCGTCAGCCTGAGGGCCATCAACGCTCTCTCTTTTTTGGGGGGCCGGGGCCTTCCCATGCAAGACGCCGCCGGGACACCTCGCCCTGACACCAACTCGGCCCACCCAGGACCCCGCACCCCGCCGGCCAGGGGGCCCGGTGGAGGAGGGGAAGACGGATTCGCCCCTCCCGAGGCCGCACTGGCACCGCCGGCCGCCGCAGGCCCGACTTCCGCGACGCTCCGCAATGTGGCGCACCCCCGCCCCCTCCGCCGCAACCCGAGCACGGCGGTACAGGCCAACCCTTGGTACTACCCAGATGCCCTCCGGGAGGGGACCAGGCAAGTCCGCCATGCACAGCCCCAGTTTGCTGCAGTGGGTGTCCAGAGCCACCTCGAGCACACGCGACCGCGGGAGGCCGCGCGCCGCCTGCAGCGCCCGGCACACCAATGCCAGGCTGGGGTGCGTCAGGACTCTATCCGCCCAGAAGCGGCGGGCGCACCACCACGTCGATTTCTGCGCCGAAATGGCCTTCATGCACTCCTTGGCCAGGGCCGCTGGCGGGTGCTCCACGAACGGGGCCGCCCACATGTACTTGTTCAGCGCCCATTTTACGACCTGCTCCCGCAACTCGGCTCCGCCTGGGACACACCGAGCGCGCCGGGCCGCGTCGACCACGGAATCCCAACCGTCCCTCGGAGGAGGTAAGTGCGGTCGGAGGCCGGCCGCCGGCTGAGCGACCACGCCCAGGTGCTCGGCGGCGCCGGACCCCGCCCACATCTGCCGCTTGGCGTCGTTTTCCGTCAAGCCGACCGCGGCGTCGAATTCCTGGGTGGCCTGCAGCTGTGCCTGGAGGCCCTCCAACGTGCTGGTCTTCAGCGACCGGTCGTCAACGTAGCTCCAGTGGCCAGCCCCGCAGGAGCCCACCAGCCCATGCCACGGCGCCAGCACTAAAGAGAGCACTCGGCAACGAACTGGGTCACCCGCGGGTATCCCCCTCGTGGGAAAGAAGGGATCGGCCATCTCCCCCGCCACGGCGCAAAAACGAGGCGCAGTCCAGTCAGCGACGAGAGAATGAACCACGGGAGGGGGTACCCCCCCGCGCTCCATGGATCTTTTGGCAACCTCGTGAGGGACCCGATCAAAGGCTTTCATCAAATCAACCTCCGCCCCATATTGCCCCTCCGCCGACAACCAGGAAGCCACCGACGCGACCACGCCCGTCTCGCCGTAGGCTTCGGCCGGACCGGGCGGGAGACACCGCAACAGCGTAGCGTGCCAAGCTCTGTACCAGACGCTGGCCACGCAGACTGGGCGGCTGTCCGAGGACCCCCGTTTGGGGATACCCGCCACCCGGACGGCGAACATGCTTTCAGGGAACACGCGCTCGTTCTCCGGGCGGCGCGCGCCCCCAAGCGGATCGCCCCGAGCAGGGCCCAGGTCACCGCGCCGAGGCGGGGCATCCTTCCCAGGCCGGTCGCCGCCCACGCTGGAGGCCGCGCCGTTGGCCAGGCCTGCTGGTTGTTCGCCAGAGTGGTCTGCAACTTGGGGCCTGGCCGCCTGGGCGCTCTGAGAGGGCGCGTCGACGCTTGCCTCGGCGGCCGCGACGAGCAGGTCGTGCAACTCGTCCACCAACCACGGGGCGTGCTCTACGAGCGCCCTCGCCTCGCTGGCTTCCCAGCCGTCCGGACCGGCCGAGCCCGCGACGTTCGCCACCTGCTGCCAGAACGCCGCCCGGGAAGGCGGTATCCGCCTGCGGGGGGGAGGCGCCGCGGGCACGCCGGCGGCGTCCGCGAGCTCGGTCCACGCCTGCGCAAAGGCGAGGGGGTCGCCGATTTCCGCCGCCTCCTCCCCAAGCCCAGGACCACTGTCACCCTGAGGGGCAGGGGCGACGCTTGGGCACCAATGCCGCGCCCATTCCGCGCGCAGGTCCGCCGCCGGAAAAGTCACAGGGGCAGGCGGCGGCTGAACCCTCTGGGCCGCCGCCTTGGCAGCGTCGGGACCCCACCGTTGGAAACGACCCTTCCAAGCTTGCACGGCCGCCAGTTTCAAGATCCCTTCCTCGGCCGTGATGGCGGCGCGGAGGATGCCCGCAGCGCCCCCGAGGCACGAGGGGATCGCGGGGAGGAGGCCGCTACGGAAAGCCGGCACCCATCTCTTGAGAAGGGGCCCTGGGGTGGGGGCAAGGCTGGGGGGCGCCCCCCCGCTGCTAGCTTCCGCCGACTTCACGACTCCTCCAAGACCCGCTGCAAGCGGCACAGCCTGCGGTAGCGCATCGTTTCAGGCCTCCTCCTCGACGCCGACTGCGCGACAGGGCGCTGCTCCGGCAAAGAGCCCTTGTCACGCTCCTGACCGCGAACCCTCTCAGCGAGCCCCAGACGACACGCCTCCCGCATCCAAGCCCCGGCGCGCACATGCCATCGTTCAATCGCCTCCCCCGGGGGCAGGAGCCGGTCGTCTTGCGTAGGCCGCAAGCGCCGAGCTTGGTCCGTCGCCGGGGGGGGGGCCCAATCGTACAGAGCGGTTCGGGCAGGGCGCGTCTGAGGGGGCGGGGGGCCGACTCCCCGCGACGTGCACATCAGAAGCCACGGCAGCGCGGCGGGGGACACCCCTCACAGGGGCGGCGAAGGCCGGCTCGACCGACGCAGCCCTGGCCAGGCACCTCGTCGGGGCAGTTCTCCCTTCAGTGGTGGCAGGGATGGTCCGCGCCGCCGCCCAATCCCGAGGCAGCACGCTATCGTAGACTGGGCGCCAATTCTCGCGGGCGATGTTTCTCCCTCAATCCCCGAGTTTCGCCCGAAAAGTTTCGCCGCTCAGAAAAATGGGAAAACCCTGGGATACACCCCAAGGGGGCCATTCGGACGCACCCCTACCGAGCATGGACACCCCCCCATCGTATATCCCAGGGTTGGGCCCCAAATTTCTGGTCCATTTGGAAACCCCACGAAGCCTGGGATAGGGGTCGACACATCCCCTGTTAAATTCAGGTCCCCCACTATCAGAGCGGGAATGCCCGACACACGTCCAGCCGAGGCGACGGGAGACGCCAACCAATCGTCATCCGCCGGGCGGGGCCCAGACCACGCCCAAGATGCCCTCAAGACGGCCGACGAGGACCCCAACACGCCGAGGACGGCCTCAAGAGGCTCCCCAAGAGGGCCCTAGGAGGCGCAATTCATACATTTTCCTATGGTTTTTGGAGGATGTTGGCGTTCTCGTTTCTCCCACTTCCCGACGCTTGCTCCCTCGCGGCCTCGGAGGCCCTTCAGATCGCTCCGAGACGGCTCACGAGAACCCGAAGAGGGCCCCAAGACGGCCCAGGAGGCGCCCCAAGAAGGGGCCCAGAGGGGGACCGCGAACCGATATTTTGATGTCTCTGGCCCAAGAGGCCCCCAGTAGGCTCCCAGAGGCCACCAAGAGGCTCCCAGGAAGCCGCGTGAGGCCCCCAAGAGACCCCAGGAAGCCCCAAGAGGCCCCCAAGGGGCCTCCAGGGAACGCCCAAGAGGCCCCTCAGCACACCCCAAGAAATCATGTCTCCCGAAGGCCTCCCGGGGACATGGTTCATCCTGGGCCCGAGACGGAGGCTCCGAAGCACCATCACGCTGCTGGAGAGCTGTCTGGGAAGCTGACTGGGACGACGATCAGTCTGCCGACGACGACGACGTCTTCGTCGTCGGCAGACCGATCGTTTTCGCTGCCGATGTCTGCCGACGGCGAAAGACGCAGCGGCGGCGACTCCGACGACGCCGGGCTTCGAGCTTCGATGTGTTCGAAGCGGCTGTGCGGCGCGCTTTCTGCCCTCGGGGGCCGTTCTCGGGCCCCTGGGGACGTCGGGCTTCGATCTGGAGAGGAGAGCTGCGCTGGACGGATCCTGGGAGGGGCCCATCCGGCGACGACGACGACGACGACGAAGACGACGAAGACGACGAAGACGAGGACGACCACGAGGAGGACGACGTCGCGTCCCCAGAGGCGACGGCGACAGCACGACGACGGCGATGGCGACGGCACGCCCCAACAGACCCCCACAGACGCCCCCAAAAAACCATGTTCCCAGAAGGCGTTCTGGCCACCCGATATTCATCAGGCCTCCGCCCCCCTACGCAACGATCTTCCCCGAAAGCCTCACGGAATGCGGATTGAGATGCGTGGACATCTCACTGCCCATAATGTGTTCAGCGTTATGGACGTTTCTTCATTTCCCGTTCAAACCATCTGTGGTTCACTATTGTAGTGGCCTCCGGCCAGTGCCGCCGATCCGGGGCGATTCCGCTGCTGTCGGAGGCAGCCCAGCGCGTCTCTGTTCCTCCTCGTCCTCCTCCTCCTCCTCCTCCTCCTTCTCCTCCTCCTCCTCCTCCTCCTCCTCCTCCTCCTCCCTCGTCACCGTCATCTTTTCCTTCCTGACTTGGAGGAGAGGGGGGTTGAGAGGATGAAGATTTGTTTCATTAAAGAGAAACCGCGCAGAGGATGAAGAAGACAAGGGGGGGATGAGACGGAGGAAGAGCAGGATGATGGCGTCAAGGAAGTGTGTAAAGAGCAGGGGGAGGAATACTTGTTGCGCATGCAGAAGGAAAGGAGACGACGAAGACACTGAGGAGGAGTGAGAAATTAGAAGGACGTGGCTGTGGCGCAGGCGAGTTCGAGGAAACCGACGAGAAGGAGAAGGACGAAGGGGGAGAGGAGGGCAAGCATGAGGCGAAGAGGTGGGGGAGGAAGAGGACGGGAACAGAGAGCGCCGCGGCCTGCTGTGGGTCTCCGCTTGTGTCTCCTGGGCAGAGTGCAGAGGGCCGCAGCGGAGCGCGGCCGTCACCCTGTCGCGTTGTCCTTCGGGTTCGTTGTCCTTCTCTGTCTTATGCCATTCCTTGCCCTCGTAATGCTGATGTTGCTATCGCTCCGTGCAAGCTGCTCGCGCGGTCCGTTGGTGCCCGGGGGGGGCGGTTCAAAAAAGGGACAGGAGTTAGGTGTTTTGTTCCGAAACGATCTGAAGCAACAAAAACAGGGCGCAAGAGGGAGGACAGCAGGAGACGGTCTCCCCCGCATAGCGAGCGTCCCCCGCATAGCGAGCCTCCCCCGGTCTCGATTCCTCTCCGGTCGCGCCCCCCGCCCCTCGGTCGCGACTCCCATCCTCTCTCGGTGGCGATCCTCCCTCCGGTCGCGACCCATGCTCCCGTCGCGCCCCCCTCTGCCCCCCGGTCGCGACGCTTTCTCTGGCGGCCGCGATTCCTCGCGGTCGCGCTCCCCCCCCCCCCGGTCGCGCCCGCGATCCACTCCAGAGCGCGCCCCTCCCTCGGTCGCGATGCCCTCCCAAGGCGCGACCCTCCCCTGGTCTGGATTCTTCCCCGGCCGCGACCTTCCCCTCGGTCGCGACGCTTCCGATCGCGACCCTTCCGCGGGTCGCCACCCACCCGCTTGCGTTCCCTCTCTCTCTCTCCTTCTCTCTCTCCTGGTCGCGAACATCCCCATCACGGGTTGCGACCTCCCCCCTGGTCGCGAATCCCCCATCCGGTCGCGAGCCACCACTCGGTCGCGAGTCTCCCCGGTCGCGATTCCCGCCCAAGTCGCGATCTCCCCTGGTCAGAGTCAGAGTCACGACTCCCCTGGTCGCGGCCCCTTCCTGGTCGCGACTCCCCCCGTTCGAGACCTTCCGCCGGTCGCGACCCTTTCTCCCAGGATCGCGACGCTCCCCCAGTCGCAAACTTCCCCCCCCCGGTCGCGCGCGAACTCCCAGTCGCGACCTTTCCCCCTTCCGTCGCGGCCCTTTCTCCCGTCGCGCTCCCTCCCCTCCACTCGGTCGCGACACTTCCCGGTCGCGATTCCCGCCCAGGTCGCGACCTGGTCGCGCCTCGCCCTGGTCGCGGCCCCTTCCCGGTCGCGACCCCTCACCGGTCGCGACCTTCCGCCGGTCGCGACTCGCCCCCCCAGGGTCGAGCTCCCCCCGCCCCCCCCCGAGCACCGAAACGCGTCAGCCCACGTCAGCCCGCGTCAGCCCCCTCCCCCCACGTGAGCCCGCGTCAGCCCCCCCCGGTCGCCAGAGCGAAGCTCGCCCCCCCCCCACCGAGCACCTCCCCCCCGAGCACCCCCTCCCTCCGAGCACCGAAACGCGTCAGCCCACGTCAGCCCGCGTCAGTTCCCCCTCTGTTCCCCCGAGCACTCCCCCTTCCCCTCCTGAGCCCCCCCCCGAACACCGAAACGCGTCAGCTCACGTCAGCCCGCGTCGCCCCCCCCCCCCCCTCTCGCCAGAGCGAAGCCCCCAACCCCCCCAGCACCTCCCCCCCCGAGCACCGAAACGCGCCCCCCCCCCTCGCCAGAGCGAAGCCCCCCCCTCTTCCCCCGAGCCCTCCCCCCTGAGCACCGGAACGCGTCAGCCCACGTCAGCCCGCCGCGTCAGCCCCCCCCGCCCCCTCGCCAGAGCGAAGCTCGAGCAAGCTCAAGCCCACGCTCTCAGAAACTCACACGCTGGATCGGCGGGTTTCAGCGGAGCAGTGAACTCGTCAAGGCTTGGGGCCTGCGCGCGCGAAGCGTGCGTGGTTCTAGTTTGTGTAGTTTCTAGTTTCTCTCGAGGCCCCAGGGCCGCACAGGCCGACCCGCGCTTCTAGGCGCTGCTGGCAGACCTGGGCTCCCGCTGCGCCGAGTTCTTGCCGCACGCCCTGACGACCACGTGGTGGTCTGTCGCCAAGCTCCTGGTGCGGGACGGCCCTCTCCTGGACGCCATATCCGCTGCATCCCAGCAGAGGCTCCCAGACTTCGACGCACGGCGCTTGGCGAGGCTGGTGTGGGCCGTGGCGCGCCTCGAGTACCATGCCGTTCCGCTGCTGGAGGTCATAGCCGCAAAGACCCGTGCGGAGATCCGCGAGTTCGAGGGCCAGGACCTGGCCATCATGGCCTGGTCGTGGGCCAAGCTTGCGTTCCGGGACGGGCAGTTGCTGCATGGCATCTCGACCGCAGCTCTGCCAGTGATGGGAGAGTTCAACACGCAGAACCTGGCGAACATGGCGTGGGCTTCGGCCTCCCTGCGGGTCTTCGACCAAACCCTTCTGGCTGCAATCGCGTTCGAGGCCATGGGCAAGATCTCGCAGTTTATCCCACAGGAGCTGTCCAGCACCGCCTGGGCGGTGGCGAAGCTGCCACATCGTAACCAGCCGTTTTTTGCCAGGATCGCTGGACAGGCCATCGCACACCTGCGCGCGGGAGCGCCGCAGTGCGATCCGACATTCCTTGCCAATATGGCTTGGGCGGTAGCAGCATTCCGGTTCGAAGACGAGCCGCTCTTGCTTAAGATATCATCAGTGGCAGTCTTGCGCATGACGGAGTGCCGCACCCAGGAGGTCTCCAACCTCGTGTGGGCTTTTGCGACGATGCCGTGCCATGACACCCCTCTGCTCGAGGCTGTATCGGCGACTGCGAGGGCGCGAATCCGCGAGTTCGAGACGCAGCACGTCACGATTACTGCGTGGGCGTTTGCACGCATGGCGGCGCAGGACTGGCCGCTGCCGCACGCACTCGCTGCCGTTGCACTCGAGAGGGTCGAGGAGATGGACGTGCAGGGGATTGCCAACACCGCATGGTCATTAGCCAGTCTGCTCATCTATGACAGGCCGCTGCTGACTGCAATCGCTGCAGCGGCTGCGCGGAGGATCTCGGAGTTCACCTCACAGGAACTCGGCAACACCGCCTGGGCTTTCGCCAGGTGCCAGCTCTTGGACGCCTCGCTGCTGGAGGCGCTATCCGCTGAGGCCATCACGCGTCTCGGCGAATTCAACGCCCAGGAGCTCTCCAACACTTCGTTTGCGTTCGCCACTCTGGGCGTGCCAGACGAGCCTTTGATGCGGGCGATCGCCGTTGCATTCATCCAGCGTGTGCGCAACGGCACTGCAGACAACCAAGCGCTGTCCAACGTTGCATGGGCGTTTGCGAAGCTGGAGTGCGCGGACGCCGAGCTGTTTGAAGTTGTGTCGGGGCTTGCGGTCAGTCGTATCGGGCAGTTCGTACCCCAGGGCCTTTCCAACCTCGCCTGGGCGTTGGCACGCAGTGCCAGTCATGATCTGCCGCTGCTTGCCGCCATCGCTGCCGAGTCCACAGCCAAGCTTCACTCGTTGAACTCGCAGGACCTGTCGAATACCTTGTGGGCAATGGCCAAGCTCGTTCTGATGAACGCCCAGCTGTTTCACGGTATTGCCGCGGCTTCCATGGAGAAGATGGGCGAGTTCAACGCGCAGAGTCTTGCGAACACCTCGTGGTCATTGGCAATATTTGAGTTGCTGGACCAGCCGTTTCTTGCGGCGCTAGCTTCGGCGGCGATGGAGAGGATCGTCGATTTCAATGTTCAGGCGCTTTCCAACACTGCTTGGGCGTTCGCCAAGCTGGACTTCTTGCACTGCCCGCTGCTGGCCCTGATCTCGGCACAAGCGCTGCCAACCATGCCTTCCTTCGACGCCCAGGCTCTGTCGAATACCTTATGGTCTTTTGCTCGGCTGGAAGTGTGGAACGAGGACCTCTGTGCGGCTATCTCGGAGGCTTCCCTGGCCCTAATTAGTGAATTGACGACGCAGGAGCTATCCAACATTGCGTGGGCGTTGGCAAAGCTGTGGAGCTATGACGTCCCGCTGCTGGAGGCAGTATCGTCGCAGTCGCTCTGTCGGATCCGCGAACTAAACCCTCAGGAGCTGTCGATGTTGGCGTGGTCCTGCGCGACGCTCCAATTCCGACAGCGCCCCCTCATGGAGGCGATCGCGGCCGCTGCGTGCGCGCGGCTGCGCGACTTCGGCGCGTTGGAGATGTCGAACAGCGCGTGGGCATTTGCCAGGCTGCAGCTCCGCGACGAGCCCCTGATGGCCGGCATCGCGGAGCTGTCCCTCCGTGACCACCCTCGGGCGGGAGTGAGGGGGGGGGGGCCTCAAGGGGGGGATGCAGGAAGGGACCCTAAAACGGCCCTTCAGGGCCCTGGGCCCGAAAAGGGCCCCCAAAGGATCCATGTTGGGGCCCCGTTCTTTACCCCTCTTTAGGTCCCCCCCCCCGTAACTCCCGCCCTGCGGCCGCCGCCCGCCGAGCCCACGGCGCCCACCGTGCTGACCGCGGCTGCCGAGCATCGGCCGCCGCGCAGGAGCGGCCCGTTGCCAGACTGGCCACCGGTGCGCGGCTCTCGGGGGGCCGGAGGGGGACCGGCCGCACCAGTCAGATGTGTGCTCGTGGGTCCTTTGCAGAGGGGGTCCGAGAAGTGTACGCAAGAGTTGGCATCGCTGGTCCGTGAGAGAGGCCACGCGTCATGATCCACAGGATGAACCACCAGCCGTCGGGTGTTGCTAGAATTGTCCACGGCCCAAGGTGCCCCCCAGGATTTCCAAGGATGCTCTCACGGCCTCCAGAGCATTCCTCATGAGGCCCAGAGGACCCCAGGAGCCTCACAATTGAGCGACACGCTGGGGGCGGCACCTTTAGCACCTCCCAAGACGGGGGAGGAAGAGGTACCGATACCGCTGCCCTGCCCTCGTCGCCAAGGCCGGATTCGCCTCGAGGTTCTGGTCAGAACGCGCCCAAGAATAGTGCCATGGAGTAGCAGTATCGGTGCCCCTTTCTCGCCCTGGTCAGTACCACGCCTTGGGTGTGTTTTTCGTGGGAGTAATTGTTATGCATGAATTGTTGTCTCCCCGGCTCTTAACCATTATTGCTGCTTTCTATTATTGTAATCGCTATCGAATCGGCGCTAGTAGAGATTCCAAAAGGTGCCATTAGGGATATTGGTAGACACTGATAGGCCAGTGGGGCGGACCCTGTCGTTACCGCAATCACACATAATTCACATAACACGCCAGTCGAACGAGCCTATCAGCGCGTTAGTGCTGAAGAGGCAGCATGGTTCTCGCACCACACGTTCAGTCTGAGACGACGCGCGTGCCGCTGATGCTCTTTGTCCCTCCCGTGGGGCTCGGTAATTAGCAAATCACGTGAGCCTCGTATGTCCTCACAATATTTGTTGTTGTGCATTAGCGTCGATTGGCGTTTGGTAATCGATGAAACAGCGCCGATGTAGCGACGATGAGCGTCGATCAGCGTCGATTCGCGTCGATCAGCGTCGACTAGCGTCAATTAGCGTCGATTCGCAAGAGCCATCAAGATGGTATGGGAGGCTCTCATGGGTTGCCGCAAGAAGGGTGGGGCGGGGGGGTGCCGAAGCCAAGCACGCAGGCCGCCGCTGGCGCACCGCACGCGACAGTCGGCAAGCCGCGCACCAGAGGCCACTCTTGCCCAGGGCCGCCCCTGGCGTGCGACCGAGATCGGCGGAGGCAACAGGGGCGGGTGGTGGAGCGGGAGGGCGTGGCGCGCATGCGTCGGGGAGCCGCGCCGAAGACGCTGGCGATCGGAGCCCCTGGATGCATGCAGTGCCCCCCCCCCCAGACCTCCGATGTCCTGTTCGGCGGCGGGCGCGCCCCGGGGGGGAGGTGAGGAGGGATCGGGACTTCGCAGAAGGCTTGGAAGGCCTCGGGCCTTCTGAGACGTTTTCCGAGCCTTCCGCGAAGGCACAGAACATTTCTTAGACGGCCGGAGGGCTGCTGAGAAGCCCCGCCGCCCTCGGGGGAGGCCTTCTCCCTCTGACCTCCCCCCGCGGCCTCGCTGCCGACTGGCTCTTTTCTCAGTGCACGGTGCCCCCCCAGCCCTGGGCCACTTCCCGGGGACCGGCTTTTCGCCCCAGAGTTGTTCTTCGGCGGCGCGTGCAAGTGGGCAGGGGCAAGGGGGGAGGGCTCCTTCGAAGAGGGATGCTTCTCAGAAGGCGCCGGCCCTACATCTGTAGTCAAGGCCCGCACCTTCCAAGAAGCAACCTCCTTCTAAGAAGCTTTCCCCCCTCCCCCCCACACCCCCTTGTGCGCGCCCCCAATTGGAGGGGCCGCCGCCCAGCTTGTCTCGATGCGTTTCGGAGGTCTGGGCCCCCATGGGCTGCCCGCCCCCCTGCTGCGTCCGCCGGAGAGAACGCCACCCAGGGCGCCGTCCCGAGCGGCGTCTACTCCCTCGCCTGGTCGTCGGGCGCAACAAGATGGGGGGGGCACGCATCGACTCCCAAGCGCCCACTGGTCGCCGATAGGGGCCGGGTTGCCCCAACCTGCCCAGGTCGGATTCGCTATCGGGGGCCAATGGCCGATCCATCGGCGATGTATCGCCGATTCCAGCTCGATGTGTCCCACCCCCCATGCCAGTCCCCCCCCCCTGGTCGTTGCCCCTCAGGTCGTCCTGGAGGGCTGGGGAGGGCGAGCTCCTGCGGTCGCTGCTGTCGCGGGAGGCCGCGGCGTGGGAGCCGCTGGCCCAGGGGCTGCGTCTCATGGAAAGCGAGTGGGGCAAGGGCATCTCGGCGGGCCAAGGACGGGGCCCCTGGGGTCAGAGGAGGAAAAGGTGCCGATACTCGGGGAACAGAGAGCGGCGCAAAGCAGACACGTGATTTCTCGGAGGTCCGAATTTCTGTGTTGTGTTCCTCCGCATTCCGCTTCCCCTGCTTCGTTTTCGCCCTTCTGGGCTTCCTGGGAGGCCCTCGTTGCCACGTCCGGACTCGCCACGAAATCCTGGTCAGGGCGCACCCCGGGAGAGGTCTGGGGAACAGCGGTATCGGTGTCCTGCGGATTCCGTGGGGGGCGGGGAGGGCGAGGGCGAGGGCAAGAGGCCGCACTTCGGCAGCACTCAGGCCAGTACATACGACTCAGGAGCGTAAGTGAATCCACGCTTGTTTGGAAAGTGCGCATCCCTAACTGCGTGTGTCCGTCGCCCCCCAGGGGCGACGCGCGCGCTCAGACACTTCATGGTACATGCAGCGGAGGGCCGCTCGAGCCACCGGCAGTGGGCCTTCGGAGGGCCCCCTCGTCGCCACGGCTGGACGCGGCTCGGAAAGTTCGGGCGTTCGCACCCCGCGAGGGCTCTGGGGATCGCTTTGGAGCCGATCTTGAGGTTCCAGTATCTCACTCGCCCTTCTCAGATACATGCTCGGAGGCGGGCGCTCTCTGGCCACACCGCCTAGGTGGCGATGTGAGTCCGGTTAGGGCGTGCGCCTCCCAAGGGGGGCGAATGGCACCCGTGCGTCCCTCTGCGTTCCACCAGTCAGTGAGGGCCCAATGCCTCAGGGCCCAGCCTTTGGGCCGCCGAACGTCGGGCGCGCCAGGCGCGAGTTCGGTGAAGAGAAGCCGTGAGTTCAGCGCGACCCCGATTTGGAGCTTCTTGTTCGCAGGGAAGCAGTCCGAGGCGGAGATCGTTCGTATCCATCGCCTTGGAAACCGATCGTACTGGACCTCGGGAGGCGGTGGACATGCATATATCTATACCTATACGACCGCCCTGCGGGCGATAAGGAGGTTGGGGGGGGGTGAGATCAAATGCCCACCCCGACTGACCTCCAGCCTGTCACCTTGATCTCATCTCTCTCTCTCTCTCTGTCTCTCTCTCTCTCTGTGTGTCTCTCTCTCTCTCGCAGTCTGCCGCGATTGCGCCCAGGCGCCGACAAACATGAATTGATGGATTGGGTTGGGTGGATTGGATTGGATGGGATAAGATGGATTGGATAAGATAAGATGGGTTGGATTGGAAGAGATGTATTGGATAAGATAAGATGGATTGGATTGTCCCGCCGCAGGCGAAGGAACAACTGAATTGATGTATTGGGTTGGATGTATTAGGTTAGGTGGGATAAGAGAAGATGGGACCAGATGGGTTGGATAAGATAAGATGCATTGGACTGGACAAGATGGATTGGATAAGATCAGCTGGATTGGACAAGAAAGCCCGCCGCAGGCGCCGACAAAAATGAATTGATGGATTGGGTTGGGTGGATTGGATTGGATGGGATAAGATGGATTGGATCAGATAAGATGGGTTGGATTGGAAGAAATGGATTGAATAAGATGAGATGGGTTGGATTGGCCCGCCGCAGGCGCAGAAACAAATGAATTGATGAAATGGGTTGGGTGGATGGGATTGGGTGGGATAAGATAAGGTGGGACAAGTTGGGTTGGATAATATGAGATGGATTGGACTGGACAATATGGACTGGATAAGATAAGCTGGATTGGATATGAAAGCCCGCCGCAGGCGCCGAAACAGATGAATCATGTAATTAGCGACGTGCGTTAGTGCCGGGACACCCGGGACACCGCCCGGCCCAATTGGGATGCCGCCCGGCCGCCGGCGGACGGGAAGCGGACTCTCGCTCCTATAGTGACACCCGGGACACCCGGGACACCGCCCGGCCCAACTGGGACCCCTCCTGGCCACCGGCGGACGGGGAACGGACTTTCGCTCCTACTTCGGCCTAGCTACAGGAGGATCACGCGCATCTTCGCCTCGCCCGCGCGCAACTACACGAACACGAAGCCGAAACTGATTTCCCGGTGGGGGGTCTCCGTTTCACTGCGATCTCACCCCCCAACCTCCGATGCATATATCTAGGCCCCAGTGGGTCGACATATATCCATATCCGCCGCCCGCTGTTTTGGGTAGTATGAGTCCACGCTTCGCAGACAGGCTCGTTGCGCTCCAGACGTGGGGCTGAAGACATGCTGGAACTTCGAGCGAGCTGCAGCGTGGCTGAGGCGACGGTAACGGGCGGACGCATGCGTCCTCGTACTCGTGTTCTTTGTTTCGTGTCGAAGCGCTTCAAGCCATTCCGCCAGCCCCCCAGAAGGTGGATGGAGAAACGCACTCCGTTCCGCGTTCCTTTTTCCTAGCAGCCCATCAAGCAACGATACTTTGACGAACAATCGATCGGGATGAGGGAAGTATATCAGCATACAGTGAAAGGACAAGGCCAGCATTGTTTAACTTATAGACATCGGGGAGTCGCTTTGAGTTTTGTCTTGGAAGAAAAAATGCCCTGGCGCACAAACTCCGACATTCTTGGGCGCCCCTGCGCCGACCCGAAGGCACTTCCAAAGTGCCTTCGGCGCGCGCGACCGTGCGGCCTTCTAGGGGACCCTTTTGGGGGCTGTGGTGGCCGTCTTGGCGCCATCCTTCAGGCCATTGGTCCAAGAAGGGAGGGTCCTAAATGTGGGTCCCCCGCTAAGGGGGCCGACAATCCAATTCGCCTCTCAGGCCTTCTTGGGACGCTCTTGCAACGCTCATGGGAAGCCATCGGGCCCGTCGTGGAACTCGTGACGGTCCTTCTTCAGGCTCTTTTTGGCGATCTTGGAGGCAATCTTCGGCCACAGACGTCCAGCGGAAGCGAGAGGCGAAACATCCAAGAGTCGTTGAACAGCTTTTCAAGACGCTTCGCGTTCACCGCCCGTCCATTCCAGTTCTCGCCAGAAGAGACGAAGACGGGACCAAGACGGGATGACACCATTCCGAAAATTGTGCAACACTCCCCCACATGTGTGTGCTTTTAACTGCGCTCCAGTATTCCTCCATCCCATCGCAGATTGGGCTCATGCATGCCGTGTGGCGAGTCCATGTTATATCTGCCGATTGACCATGTGCCCGTCATCATTACACACGGATCGCTGATATGAAGTTGGTTCGCTTCACTTTTCCTCCCCATTCACAGCATTCGGCCAGACATAGCCAGAACATTGCCCAAGACCAGCCGACGACGGCGCGAACACGGCCCAAAAGGCGCCCACATTGGCCGAAGAGGGCCCCGATAAGGACTCAAATGATGGGCCAGAAGGGCCCCTGAGACGGCCCAAGCGACAGCACTTTCGCGTTGGGCCGCAACCCCGTTCGAATTGCAGAATTAAATGCTGGACCGGGATCTGGGCTTTTTGGGGCTCAGTTTTGGAATCCAGGTTTGATTCAGTATCGTTAAAAGTTAACCCCAGAGCGCGCCCAAAGACAGCGTCGAAACTTGCATGTTGAGAAGTATCCTAGAAGACCCGACGGTCAGCTGTAAGAAACGTTCGGACAACCCACAGCGATACACCTGCGTTCATGAGGCCACTGGAGCCGATTGTGAGGGAGGGCGAAGAAGGGGCCAAAGGGAACAAATTGGCACCACATGCACACCGAATGCGTACTAGGAGCGTTCTGAAGTTCGAGGTCCTCTTGGGCGCCGTCTGGAAGCCGTCGTGGAGCTCGAAAATGGTCGAGGTCGCAGTCGGGCGGCGGAGGGGCATAGGCCTCTGGGGGGGGGGGGGGGGAGAAAGGGGTAAGGCCAAAGCACTGCGAGAAGCTCTCGCAGTTGAGTCTCCCACGTCCGTCAGCCCCGTGGGCGGGCGGAGTCGAGAGGCCTACGAACGCCATCCCGCCGACCCCGTGGCAGTGGATTCGTCGGGAGTCGTGGCGCCGTGCCGGGCCTGCAGGCCAGAAGCCTCAAAGCTGCATTTGAGGGTCTCCCGGGATGCCCCTCGGGGGCCTCTTGAAGGGCTCTTGGGGGCCTCCCGGGAGGTTCCTCGGGGGCCTCTCGGTTGCCTCTGGGGAGCCTCTTGGGGCATCTTGGGGGCGTGTCGGGGGTCACTTGGGGCCTCTTGGGGCCATCGTGGCAGAATAACCAATCGAGAAGTGAGCTCCTATTGCCCCTCTTGCCCCTCTTGGGGCCCTCCTCGGCCGCCGCAGGGGGCCCTGGGCCGTCTTGGGGCCTTCTTGGGGCTCTATTGGGCCTTCTTGGAGCCCTCTTGGGGCCCTCATGGACTGTCTCGAGACGGTCTTTGCGGCTCTTTCGTCCGAGAAAGCCTTGTTCCCAGTATTGAAGTTGTCTTGAACCCCTTCGGCCGTGTGTAGGAGCTCTTCTGGGCCATTTTGGAGACCACCTTGGGCATCTTGGAGGCGCCCGCAAGTGGGTTTGGAGGCCTGTGGGCCCCGTGGGTCCGGGAGCTCGTGCCCCCCCCTCCGTTCCCTCCGCCCTAACGGGGCGAGGACAGCCGATCATCTTACATGCCTTCTCGGCCCAAGCGGGGGTCGGCGGCTGTGTTTTGCGATGCTTTGCCATATTTTGCAGCGCAGGAAAGGTCGGCGCAGCGCATTGCATTTCATCCGGATTGCATTGCGTTGCGCGGATCTACAGAGGGGAAGTGAAGATCTTCGAGGCTCGGGGGGGGACTCGCAAGGAGCCAGGAGTGCATTCAATGAGCACTGGTTTCGAGAGACCAGCGCCACCTGCCCTTTTACCAGAAGAAGTCAGGACCCTTCAGGCAAAGCTCACTTGGAGACCAGCTGGATGATCAGAGCACGCCGCTCGTGCAGACGAGGATGTAGCACAGCCAGATGAGAGCATGCCGCTGATGCCAACGACGCAAATGGTGGCCAGGATTGTGCGGCATGGCGAGCGCGCCAGGATGTTGATCTGTTGTGCCGTGCACCCAGCGCTCCTGCTGGAACAGGATTGGCGACATGACCAAGTCTTCGCTGGGCGCATCTGTGCGTCTTGCCCTGTGCTGGCTCGTTCGCCGCAATGCTCGCCACCGATGAATTGTTTGATTTTTCTCTTGCCGACCCCATGTTCGGGGAATTGCAGTGGCACCTGGTGTGCTCCACAGACACGAGAGCCGTTGATTGCGAGCGAGCTGGGGTGCAGCAAGTTGTCCAAGGATGATATGGAGCTGAACGAATGCGATAGCCAGGACATTTGTCGCACTGTCTTGGTGCCGGGAGAGATGACCTACATAATCATGGACCAGCGTGTGCGACGAGAGTTGGAAGTTGGAAAGGCTCCGAAGGCTCAAATCTGCGACAGCCGAGGCGTCCCTGTGAATGAGCTTCGCATGTCTTACGCGGGGCGAGAGGAGACGGTCACCCGTACCTTTCTTGGAGTACATGCACAGTGTACAGTACATCCGTACCTTCGTCCGGACGAATTACATGCACAGTGTACAGTCGGCCCAGTCTGGAGATCGTCCTCACGGGTCACATCGCGTGTGCGTGTGTGCTTTCTTATAAGTGAGATCCCTGTCGGGATACCAGAGAGACCTCAGGGGCACGTAGCGGACACTATCAAGTGATCTCGTTGTTTTCGGCGCTTTCCGAGAGTGTGTGGGTTACGGGTGGAATGCGCAGTGGGGGCACGGTCGGGAGTTCCCCGGCATCTTAGGACGTAAGCCAGCCCTTGGTATTCGCATGGCGGCTCACTTGGGGGCCACTGGGGGCTTCTTGGTGCCTCCAGGGAAGCTCTTTGGAGCCTCCCTAGGGACCTCTCAGAGGCCTCTTCGGGGCCTCTCGGAGGCGTCTTGGGGTCTGGGGCCCATCTTGAGGGAGAGCCTTCAAGCGGTCTGGCAGTGGCGCTATTAGTTGGTCCTTCTTGGGGCCGTCTTGGGCCCCCCCCCCTGGGCTTCTTTGTGGGAATATCGGGATTTGTCTTCTGCCAGTCTTGAGGGCTTTTTTAAGTGCGTCTCTGGATGGTCTTAAGACGGAACAGCCCATGATATTTCATCAGTTGCACATAATTCAAATGCGTGGGGCTCTTGGGCCAGACCCCAGGGCCTGCACGACGGCCGAACATGATTACCCCGAAGGTGGCTCCAGGGATGGGGGGCCTGGGATGATTTGAGGCGTATTGGGAGTTTGGGCTCCCAGGACGCAAAACAACAGTTACGCGAAACATTCCGACAGCTATCCCGTGAGTTGGGCGGGGTCTGGGGTCTTCAAGAGAGCCAACAGATCACACGAGCGTTTTCAATAGACATGCGCGTTGCAGACGCTCACAGGTAATGTCAACTGCGGACGTTCAATGTGGCACTGAGAACATCCTAAGGAGTGCCTGCGGAAACGTGGCGGATCGTGCACAGCAGATAAATCGTGATTTTCGGCCATTCCGCTGCCGTGCCTGGGTCGTAGACAAGAGGTCTCTGAGAGGCTTCTGGGGGTCTGCTGGGGGGCTCTCGGGTGCCTTTTGGACGCATGATTGAAGCCTTTTAGAGGGAGGGCCCTGGTGGTAGTAGTGGGGTCGTCTTTTATTTCGACTTTGCCTCGTGGGGTCCTCTAGGGGGTCATCTTTGGGGACGTTGCTCGAAATGTCAGTTCGGGCTCCCCGTTTTGGGCCCTCTTAGGCTCTCTTGGGTGCCTCCTGGGCCGTCGTAGGGCCGTTTTGGAGGCCTCGTGAGGCGATCTCGATGACCTCGTGGGTCGTTGTTCGTTTTGGATCGTTGGAAGCCCGGATAAGCGAAATCTGAAATCTTTGAACGACTTGTACGGGATCATCGATTTTTGCTCTGGAGACCCTCTTGGATCGCTGTGGGGGCTTATAGGGCCCTCTTGGAGCCTTCTTGGGGCGTTTTTGGCCGTCTTGAGGCTGTTTTTGCCCGTCTTGGGGCTTTCTTGGGACTCTTCTTGCGCCGTCGCGGGGAGTTTGGCGTCGTTGAGGGCGGGAGGGGCGTCCAGAAGGTTCATGCGCCGTGTTTTGGGAGCGCACAGGTAACGCCGTACATTCCTGCAAAGTTTGGGTCCAGGCCTTTCAGAATCATAGAGACCATACGGCTCGTACAATGGCATGAGCATAGGGCTACTCCGCTTCGTACTGAAGGCATAATGGCGGATCTGTTTGACAGCTAGCTGGACTGCAGGTCGCCATGACGTCGCATTTCGCGGGCGTTGGAACCAGCAGCGACGTGAATGCAGTCACAGACAGTATGGCATGGGCGCACCAAGTCCACCAGATTGTCGAGTCGCTTGACTATTGTCCCAGCGAGGTAGTTTGAAATGCCCCCCTCCCTTCCCTCCCCTCCTCCACTTTGGGTGGTTCGCTTTCGACTGCCCTGTCGGCTATGCCCTTGACAGGCCCCCCTTTGCCGCGTGCGTTGTTTGCCCTCCCTTGATTTAAGCCGCGTGGCGGAGCCGATACCTGTCTTCCGGTCGCTGTGGACGGGGCAGCAGGCGTTTTAGCAGCATGCACCGTAATGCAATGCTCGAAGCATTGGGTCCATTTCACTTCATCCCTTCTGCCATTGTGATCCGCCCCCTCAGGCCGCCTTCCAATGGCGGTTTCGCCCGCAGCCAGCGACGCCAGTGTTTCTCGCCCGTCTCCATTTTCCTGCTCGCAGATTGCTGTGGATCCGCAGTCTTGCACGTGCGCACCATTGCCACCAGCTTTCCAGGTGGCTTGAGTTTAAGCAGACGCCGCCCTCAGCCACGCGTAGAGGGGGGTGGATGGATGGGGGAAGGTTTCGTAGAAGCACCCTTGCTTCTTAGAGTGCGCGGCCCTCATCTGTAGATGTAAGGCCGGCGCCTTCCTCGCTTCTGCTTAAGGATTATTGGATTATTTTGTGTTGCTGGTTTTGCTGCATTTTTGCCTCCAAGATTTAGCCAAACTGGCAAATCAGATTACACCAGTGCGACCATACGTAGAAGTTTGAGCCCCTAGGAAAGCAGCATTAGTTGCTATACTATGCTATGCTATGCTGAGCTATGCTGTGCCATGCTTTACTGCGATATGCTATGCTATAATATGATATGATATGCTGCGCTATGCTATGCTACGATATTGTATGATAAGGTATGTTGTGTCATGCTGCGCTGTGCTATGCTAAGCGATGCGATGATATGATATGCTAAGCTATGATATGAGATGCTATGATATGATATGATATGCTGCGATATGCTATGTTATGCTACGCTATGTTATGCTTGGCTATGTTATGCTATGATATGCTAATGCAGCGCTGCGCTATGATAAGCTAAGCTAAGCTAGCCCTCTAGGAAGAGCCTAGGTAGGGAACTACACCCATGCTAAAGCTCAGCGAAGCTGAGATGAAGGTAAGCTAAGCTAAGCTAAGATAAACCTCGCTCGCCCTCGCTCGCCTCCCCTCTCATCTTCTTTCTCTTCTCTCCACTCTTATATGTCCTGACTCCGTTTTTCTTCTCCTCCATCTCCTTCTCCTCTGTCCTCCTCCTCCTCCTCCTCCTCCTCCTCCTCCTCTGTCCTCCTCCTCCTCTGTCCTCCTCCTCCTCCTCCTCCTCCTCCTCCTCCTCATCTTCCTCCTCCTGTTCCTCCTTCTCCTCCTCTGTTCTTTCTTCCCTGTACCTCCTCCTCCTCCTCCTCCTCTACCCTGGGGGGAGGGGGCAGTGCGGACGTCCTCAGATACCCCAGCGCTGCGCGGAGGCAGGGCCCCAAGGCGCAGGGCCCTGGGGCGCTGGGCCCGAGGGCCACATGTCACCCGCGCAACGTTGGGTTACCTGTGAATTCCCGCTTTGCCCCCCCCCCCCCCCTCCTCGACGACGACGACGACGACGACGACGACGACGACGACGACTCCCTCGCGCGCCCGCGCGGCGGGGCGGGCGGCGCACCAGGCGGCGGGGCGGGGGCGGGCGGCAAGCACGCGCGGGCCCCCCCCCCTAGGGGGGAGACAGTGCGAACATCCACAAGTAACCTAACGATGCACGGGGGCGGGTCCTGAACCAAGGAGGACGCCCGGGCAACCAAGCCCGCCCCCGTGCAGGGTTAGGTTATTTGGCGGAGTTCGCACTGCCCCCCTCCCCCCCTCCTTCTCCCTCTTCTCCCTCTGTCAGCTTGTCCTTCCTCCTCCACCTCCTCCTCCTCCCTCTTCCCTCCTCCTCCTCCTCCTCCTCCGCTCCTCCTCCTCCTCCTCCTCCTCCTCCTCCTCCTCCTTCTCCTCATCTTTCTCATCCTCCCTCCTCCCTCCTCCCTCCTCGTCCCTCCCCCCTGCCCCCTCCTCCCTCCCCCTCCTCCTCCTCCTTCTCCTCCTCCTCCTCCTCCTCCTCCCTCTCCCTCCGGACCGGGTTCCGGCGAAGACCACGCACGTCGTGTCTCCAGAGGGCCGTCTTGGGAGGCGCCAGGCTGGCGCGCGAGTGGCCCAGGTCTCCAGAGGGCCATCGGGGAGCGCCAGGCTTGGGCGCAGCAAGAAAAAAAAGCAGCGCCAGGAGCAGGCTCCAGAGACGGGAGGAGCAGGGAAGAGAGGCGAGCGTCACAGGAGAGGCAAACTGGAGGCGAGACTGAGGGAGGAGGAGGGAAAGGGAGGAGGGGGGAGGGGGGATAAGGAGGAGGAGGAGGAGGAGGAGGAGGAGGAGGAGGATGATAAGGAGGAGGAGGAGGAGGAGGGGGAGGAGGAAAAGAAGGAGGGGGAGGAGGAGGAGGAGGAGGAGGAGGATAATGATGATGAGGAGGAGGAGGAGGATAATGAGGAGGAGGAGGAGGAGGAAGAGGAAGGAGCCGGGGGCGCGACCTGCAGCAGACAGGTGCGCAACTACTTGGCTCACTGGCGTGCGGCGCTCCCACCACCGTCAAAAAATCGGGCTCGAGCTCTGGAGGGGAGGGGCAACGAGGAGCGTAGGATGATTGGTCGAGGACGGGAATCTGGGTCTCGAATGCCCTGGTGGGGGAGCCAGCGGGCCTGCCACGATCACGCATACCCAGGCTCACTCATCGTTGGAGTCCTCCTCCTCCTCCTCCAGGTCGCCGTTCTCCTCCTCCTCAGGTTCCTCCTCATCCTGGTCGCCCTGCATCTCCTCGAGCTTAGCCTTGAGCTCCGCCTTCGAGAGTTTGGCACCGGGCTTCGCTTTCACCTTCCCCTGAGGCTTGCTCCTCGACTTGGCCTTCGGCTTCGGCTTCGTGTCAGCCTTGGCCTCAGCCTTGGCCTTCGGTTTGCTGCCCTTCTTGCCCGTCATGAGAGCTTT